TATATATGAGGGGCGGAGCCTTAGGTGTACACCAGTGCGGGTCACCCCAGTTGCTGGGTTGTGATGCTGTATGAGGGGGTGGGGTCAGAGAGGGATCCATGGGGCTTACTCTGCTCTCTGTCAGATTTTAGTCCCTTTTGCCACTTCCCACAAGCAAATTGGGTCCTTCTGCTGCTGGTTCCCGGGTGGGTGGGCTTGTGTATGTTCTAGGATCCTATGGGTCTCTCCAACGAACTCTCCTGTGAGACTGGGAATCTCTCCCTGCACCTCAGCCCCCACAAGTGTTTTTAATTGGTGCTTTTAGGCTTTATTTGCCAGCGCTGGAGCCCTGGATTGCATGGTCTGTCTCGCTGCCTGTTTTTGCCTGGTTTATCTGCACGCAAATGTGTGACCTTGGTCAGCCCACTACCTTGCGTGCCTCACTGGATCTGCTCATTGCCATCCTGCGCCCTGGGTCTGCCAGCTGCTGTTTTTTTTCTGCTGCGACCCCTCTTTGTCAGCCACTGACTCCACCCCTCTTACCAGTCTGGATGAACGATTGTCAGACTTCTGTACAGTTCAATTTTCTGTCAGTTCTGGGTTTTTTTTTGTTTCTAAATTGTTGTTGTCCTTAATTTTTGGTTGTGCGAGGAGGCACAGTGTGTCTGTCTATGCCTCCATCTTGGCTGGGAGTCTGTATTATGTACTTCTGTATACCCATGACCCAACTTGAATAATTGCCAGCTCACAACCAATCTTGTTTCTTATAATATTTTACTCCAACCCATTACCCCCCTCAGGATTTTAAGCAAATTTAAGGCATTGCATCATTTCATTTGTATAGTAAGTTCATATTTTAGTAAGTTTTAAAAAATGTAATGATAACTTCTCTTAAACATATCTACAGTGCTGTTTTCACACCTAGGAAGCACATGATGTCTAGTCTCTTTGTGATAATGGTTAACCTTTTTGAGTATTTACCATGGGTCCGGTGCTATGTTAAGTCCTTCATGTGTATTATCTCTTTTAATAATAATATGAGGTGGGTATAATTAGTATCCTCACTTTATAGGTAAGTAGAGAAATGCAGGCTTGAAAAGATTAAGGAACTTGCCTAGGATTCTGCAGCTACTAAGTGTTGGAGCTAAGATGTGGTCAGAGAATCAAGAGAAAGCAAAAATAGAAGTAAGAAGGTGGCTCCCATTCAGCCATTTAGTTGCATAGTGATCTTCGAGCTTGAGATTCATTATCTTTGAAATGATAATTGCTGGTCTGCTCACTTGTTAATGTTTGTAAAAGTGTTTTAGCAACTGCAGAATACTGTGAATATGTGAAAAAGTTTACTATCTAGTTAGTGTTTCTTTACTGGGGGTGATTTTTGTCTCCCAGGAAACATTGGGTCTGAAGACTGGATTCTCACAGTTGGTGGGGGTGATACTGGCATCTCGTGGGTAGAAGCCAGATATGCTCCTAAACAGTACATAGGACAGCCTCTGAAAACAAAGAATTTGGTCCAAAATATCAGTAGTGCCACTGCTTAGGAACTCTGTTAAATAACCGTTTAACTAATTAAAATAACCAGTTGTCTAGTTGAATAACCAATGAAGAAATTGAGGCTCAGATTGATCAAGTGACTTTGTTCTGGGTAATACGAGTTGGTGCTGGGGCCAATATCAGATTTCATTACAATCAACTTTTGAGGTTTGAGGAACAAGTTTTTCTGAGAAGCAGAAACCAACCTCAAAGAGCTTTTGTATACTGAGCACAATCAGTACAGTGAAAAGAAACACATAATTCTAAATACTTTGTAGAAGACTTGCTTTCATGTTTTGTCAAGTGGGTGGCATGGTCATGAGCAGAAAACATTTGTCACGTAACTTCTGTGTCTGTGGCATTGTACTTGGTGCTGAGGTGACTGCAAAGGATCTGAAAGTTGCTGCCTGCCAGGAGTTCACAAAGCCCTTGGGTAAATGTCCTAAGAATCATTTAGCTGCATGCAGTAGAAGTGAACTCAAGTTGGTTCACGTAAAGAGGAAATTGGTAGTAACACAGTGGGATTTCCTATGACCCATGACCCAAGGTTAGCAGGTATAGCTAGGCTTCAATGAGGCCATAGATGCTTTTTTTTTTGCTTTGTGGGCCCTTTTCTCTGTAAAAAATATTAAAACATATTTTACAGCTGTTTTGGCATAAAGGCAAATCTAATGTTATATATTATTTTTCTAAAACCTAAAAGTTTATTGTTTTTCTTGATTTTTTAAAAGAAATTAAAATGTTTGTGTGAGTGTTTAAAAGTATGTGGGCCCTCAGCACTGTGCCTACTGTACCTGCAGGTTAAGTCGGCTATTAGGAGTTAGTTGTACAGGCTGTTTTAAGGGCTGGTGGAAGTAACTTACTTTCTTCTGCCCCAAACCCCTTTGCCAGAACTTAGTCAATCTGTTAATTCACCTGAAAACATAGCAGAGTACACTTAACCACTTCTGCTGCACTTCCCTGAATAAGACTGGACTTTTGTTGCTGAGCAAGAAAGGGAAGGAACAGATACTGCATAGTCTACCTGCAGTCGCTGCCATAGTTTATTTTAAAATGGTGGTCCTTGTGTATTAGACTTGATGATGGGTTAGCATGTACTGGAGTAGAGAGACTGGAGGCAACTTGTTAAGAGGGTTTTAAAGTAAGAGGGAGCAAAGGATCTGAGGTCTGAATGAAGGGGGTTAGTAGCAGGAATGGAAAGGAGTGAACCACTGCCGGGTCTTATTCTTTCTTGGAAAAGGAAATACTTTCTGCAACCACACTTGATTTTATGGAAATTCTCGTGAAAGAGTCGAAATTGCTTAGCATCTTGATTCAAATATGTAACCCAGTTCCTAGTCCATGCTATTTTTTTATGTTCGTGTTATGTAAAAACAGGCAATGAGTTACTCATTTCTTCTCTTAAATCTTTAAATGCTCAACAAATATTTGAGAGACCTCTGTAAGCTAGACATTGAAGATAAAATGAGAAAAAAAGACACAGTTCCCACCATAAACAAACTCACAGTCCTGTAGATACTGATGTCTCTGTGTAATTAGGGCTGTCAGAGGGGAAATATTTATGGGTAGGAACATATTAAGAATGGCATCTCATAAACTCTTGGGGAATCAGCTGAGACCTGAAGAAGGAGAGAGTGAGGCAGAGTCTGGTGGAGTATGAGAGGAGAAGGAATAGTTTGAACACAGGCCCAGAGGTGAGAGCTGGACCTTGGCATATTGGGGGGGGGTGCAGATGGCTTAATAGGTCTGGAATGTGGTGATGGAGGCATGGGGGGATGGGGGATGAGGCTGGGGCTGGGTGATATGAGACAAGAAGGACCTTGAATGCCAGATTTAAGACTATGGACTTTATCCTGAGAGCATAGAGAACCTCTGGAGGGGGATTGAGCTGATCAGTCTTATTTTGATATGATTTCCACTCACAGCAATTATGATTTGGCTGGGATTTGTAGAAATAAAAACGTCATTTTCCTTTGGTTCCTAGATAAACTTCTTATATGTCCGTAACTTTTCACATTGTGGAATCTTTCTCATTTCCTCTTTGCCTTTGTAATGAGGTTCTTTTAATCCACATTTCACCTCTTACACAGGCTGACATTTCGTCTTTCTGTTGCTTGTACTTCTCTTCCTATACTTACTTAAAAAAATAAAAAACAGTAAACCATTCTTTCACTTATAAATGAAAATAGTAAAACAGGTGACAAATTTGTTAGATTTGTACTGAATCTTACCTAATTCTAATACTACTAGTTTGTATTATTACATAATATACAAGGTCTATTTAAGATAGTTATTGGAGAAATAATTGTATGTCTTTTTATTGCATGGAATTTCTTTTTGTATAATACTTCAAAATGCGTAACCATTAAAAAAAATAAAGCTAAGAACCCAGTGTATCTGTGATGTTAGTGGGAAGCAATTTTAAAATTGTTGGGTGGGAGGGGCAGAGGGAGGGCACAATCGAAGGAGACCGAAATCCAGAGGTTAGGTGACTTGGCAAGGTCACCTGTCTAGTGGGTTATAGAGGTATGAGTAGAACCCAGGTATTTTCCCATTTGAAAACGCTGCAAAAGCTAGAAATGTTAGCAGGTGAAGCAAATCTGATTTCCATTCAGTTAATTTTATACCAGAAAATAAAATTCTAGAAACTAATATTAAGTTTTCAAAACAATTAGATTTGTGTATGGTCCATTGATATCCAGATTTTACATTGGCCTTTCCTTAAGTGCTGAGTTCCACTCCACTCTCAGCACACTTACTATTAGCAGCTAATTCTTTGTACCAGAGTCACACACTGAGAATGAAGCTCTATTCTTCCTTTTTTAGACGTAGAGTGATCATGCATGTTTGTCATTTTCATCCCAGGTTGGCTTAAGAGATGGTGGGAATGTTGCCAGGTAGATCCATTCTACTCGAGTTATGCATGCCATTCTGTATTTTGTTTTAATTTCATATTAATAGTTTGATAACCATTTCAGAGAGTTCTGTATCAGCTTTCTTGGAACAAAAACGATGCCACCTCTATTCCTTGGGTCTGAACGTCCTTCTTTGCTAGTATGGCTGCAGATTGACAATCAGGCACTGCTCCATCCTGTACTTTACAAATATAGCATGAGGCAAAAGTAGGTTTGCAGTTGTGAGTACCCAACTTGTATTATTATTTATTATGTATTGTATTATTTCCAAACACCTGTAAATCTACCTTTGTCAACCCTTGTATTTATGTATTTTAACTAAATAGGAATGTTTCACAAAAGAGTATTTCAAAGCTTTTTATACATGTAAGTAATTCTTTAACCATCCCTTTGGGGTTTGAGGTGTACAGGTCATGATAACCCTAACTTTTAGTCTTGTTCATTTAAATTTCAATGTAGCCATGGAAAAAAATGGATCTATCACTAAACAGCTCAGTTCTGTGTGAACCCATTTTTTTTAAAGCAAGTCTTGAAGTATAGAGTGGGTTATTCTATCGCTTTTGTTTCTAATAGGAAAGAAAAGGAACAGCCAAAGTGGACTTTTTGAAGAAGATTGAGAAAGAAATTCAACAGAAATGGGATACTGAGAAAATATTTGAGGTCAATGCATCCAATTCAGAGAAGCAGGCTAGGTGAGTAACAGTTTGTGAAGTTCTGCACATTGTGTTTCTAAAACGGTTGGCTTTATGGAACAGAACCTGCTCTGTGGAAAACATACAGCAGGTTGCTTTTAGAATTTCTGAAATGGGCTAAAGGAGGTAACTTCCATTTTCCGCATTTAAAATTAGAATCCTCTTATGGAATTCTTAAAGGATTTTTTTCTACATTAAGGGTTTTTAAAAAATAATTTTTCATATTCAGATGAAAGAGGATGTTTTGAAATTTTATCTTTGCTGACTGGTAAAGTGAAATCCTTCTATTAGAGAAATTGATATTATAGTGATAATTATCTTCACAGATACAAAATATAAATTTTTAAAGGTATCCGTATTGAAGATCTTACATCATAAATGCTGTATAGCCTCAATGTTAAGACTCACTGATAATAAGACAAACTATAGACAATGATGTGATATTGAGGAGGAATGAAAACAAAATAACTGGCCCACAGCAGTGCCACAATAAACATAGGTGTTCATTATAAGATGAATCTCAATTTCTGACATGTTGAAATGTAGAAAAGTAATGCTACTTAGAATTAGTGAAATACATTGATAACAATAATAGTAGCTAACATTGACAATTTACTGTTCAATATGTAAAAGCAGTAGGAAATACACCACTTTCTACATGCAATTCTCAATTCACTCTTATTAATAAACCTTTATTTTTATTTAAAAAAATTTTTTTAATTGATTATGCCATTATAGTTGTTCTATTCCCCCCTTCATTCCCCTCCACCCTACGCCTCCATCCCCACCATTACCCCCTCTTTAGTTTATGACCATGTGTCTCAAGTTCTTTAGATTCTATATTTCCCATACTATTCTTGCCCCCCCCATCTATTTTCTATCTACTGTCTATGCTACTTATTTTCTGTACCTTCTCCCCCCTTCTCCTCCCCCCACTCCCCTGTTGCTAGCCCTCCTTGAGATCTTCATTTCTATGTTTCCACTCCTGATCTAGCTGTCCTTTTAGTTTGCTTTTGTTTTAGGTGTGGTTGTTAATAACTGTGAGTTTGCTGTCCTTTCACTGTTCATGTTTTTTTAACTTCTTTTTCTTAGGTAAGTCCCTTTAACATTTCATATAATAAGGGCTTGGTGATGATGAACTCCTTGAATTTGATCTTATCTGAGAAGCACTTTATCTGTCCTTCCATTCTAAATGAAAGTTTTGCTGGATAGAGCAATCTTGGTTGTAGGTCTTTGGATTTCATGACTTGGAATACCTCTTTCCAGCCCCTTCTTGCCTGTAAGGTCTCTTTTGAGAAATCAGCTGACAGTCTAATGGGAACTCCTTTGTAGGTGACTGTCCCCTTATCTCTTGCTGCTTCTAGGATTCTCTCCTTCATTTTAATCTTGGCTAATGTAATGATGATGTGCCTTGGTGTGTTTCTTCTTGGGTCCAACTTCTTTGGTACTCTCTGAGCTTCCTGGATTTCCTGGAAGTCTATTTTCTTTGCCAGATTGGGAAATTCTTCTTTATTATTTGTTCAAATAAGTTTTCCACTGGTGGCTGTTCCTTTCCCCCTTCTGGTACCCCTATAATTCGGATGTTGGAGCATTTAAAGATGTTCTGGAGGTTCCTAAGACTCTCCTCATTTCTTTGAATTCTTGCTTCTTGACTCTTTTCTGTTTGGCAATTATTTGCTTTCTTCTGGTCCACTCCACTGATTTGAGTCCCAGTTTCCTTTTCATTGCTATTGGTTTCCTGTGCAATTCCATTCATTTCAATTAGTTTCGCCTTCATATGTTTGTCTAATTTGTGGCTATAATCAACCAGTTCTGTGAGGATCCTGATCACCAGTGTTTTAAACTGTGTGTCTGAGAGTTTTGCTGTTTCTTCATCGCTTAGATTTATAGGCTCTGGGGCTTTGAGATCTTCTTGAGCCATTTTTGGTCTGTTTGCGCCGTTAAGTACGAGGAGTGGAGCCTTGGACTCCCAGGTCGCTGGGTTGTGATGCTGTATGTGGGGGTGTGGTCAGAGCGGGGAAATGGTGGCCCCCTCTGCTGTTTCGCGGCAGGGTGAGGAGCAGTGCCTTAGGTGGTTCACTGGGCCGGGCCACTCAGAGTCGCTGGGTTATGACTCTGTATGTGGAGGCAGGGTCAGAGCAGGGAAATGGCGGTGCCCTCCGCTGCCGCTTTCTGCGGGGACCCGCTGGGTCTGCTGGGTCCCAGTCCAATGGCCACTCCCTCGCTTGTCTATCTGCGCACGAATGCGCGACCACAGTCAACCCGTAGCCCTGCTCCCTCGCTGTTTCCCCGCGGTCGCTGGGTCTCTCACTAGGTCCAACCCTGCTCCTGGGTTCAGCGCGTCTGAGTCCGTCTGACGGAGTTTTCCTGTGCTACCCGCTCCTCCAGCTGCTGGTTTAGCCCCTCTTACCGGTCAGGCTGAAGAATTTGTTGTTAACAGACTTCCGAAAAGTTCAATTTTCTGTGTTCTGGCTGTGTTTTCTGTTGCTAATATTTAGTCGACTCTAAACTTGGTTGTGTGAGAAGGCACTGTGTCTCCACCTATTCCTCCATCTTGGCGGAAGTCCCCTTATTAATAAACCTTTAAAGTTAGCAATATTTTTACCCGTATTTAATAGATAAGGATATTCTCGCAGAGAGAGGCTGAGTAACAATCCCAAAGTTTCATGGGTGGGAAACGACAGGCCTGGACTTCTTTTCAGGTCTTTCTGATTCTAAATAAAGTCTATATTCCTTTCAAGCTACACTCTACTTGAATTTTTCTAGTTTTAAAGAAAAAAAGAGTTTGCTGTAATATAAAGTCTTTGGTGTTATACTTTCTATTTTAAAGCTTCTGTTTGGTTCTGTAATTTTGGTCAACTTTAAGGTAATTTAAAGTCCTCTAAAGTAAACTGAAAAGCAGCTTTGTTCAGTGAAAGAATGAACCACAGCTATGTGCAGCAATGCTGAAGGAACTTACAAACACTATACTGATTGGGAAGAAGCAAATTACAGAGGTCTATATGAAATGTGCCATTTTTAATAAGCTCATAGGTGAATGAAACTAAATGGTACACTTTTTTTTTTTTAAAGATTTTATTTATTTATCTTTGGAGGGGAAGGGAAGGAGAGAGGGAGAGAAACACCAATGTATGGTTGCCTTTCTTGCGTCCACTGCTGGGAACTGGCCCGCAGGGAACTGGCCTGCAACCCCAGTATGTGCCCTGACTGGGAATCGAACCGCGATTGTCTGGTTCGCAGGCCCGCGCTCAATCCACTGAGCTACACCAGCCGGGGCTAAATGGTACACTTTTTAAAAGAATTTTATTTGAATGATTTACGTTTATTGAGATCACAGTCTGATTTTTTTTTAAAATATTTTATTTATTTATTTTTAGAGAGAGGGGAAGGGAAGGAGAAAGAGTGGGAGAGAAACATCAATGTGTGGTTGCCTCTCGTGAGTCCCCTGCCGGGAACTGGCCTGCAACCCAGGCATGTGCCCTGACTGGGAATCGAACCGCGATACTCTGGTTCACAGGCCCGTGCTCAATCCACTGAGCTACGCCAGCCAGGGCTGATTTTTAAAATATACTTTATTATGTTATTACAGTTGTCCCATTTTCCGCCTTTAGCTCCCCTCCACCCTCCTCCCGCCTATATTCACCCCCTTTAGTTCATGTCCATGTGTCATACACATAAATTCTTTAGTTTCTACGTCTCCCATATTATTCTTACTCTCCCTCTGTTTTCTACCTACCATCTATACTACTTATTCTCTGTACCTTTTCTCCCTCTCTCCTCCTCCCATTCCCCTGTTGCTAACCCTCCATGTGATTTCCATTTCTGTGGTTCTGTTCCTGTGCTAGTGTGTTTTTGTTTTTGTTTTTGTTTTTGTTTTTTGTTTAGGTGTGGTTATTAATAACTGTGAGTTTGCTGTCATTTTACTGTATGTGCTTTTTATCTTCTTTTTCTTAGATAGGTCCCTTTAATATTTCATGTAATAATGGCTTGGTCATGATGAACCCCTTTAACTTGGCCTTATCTGGGAAGCACTTATCTGCCCTTCCATTCTAAATGAAAGCTTTGCTGGATAGAGCCATCTTGGATGTAGGTCCTTGCATTTCATGACTTGGAATACTTCTTTCCAGCCCCTTCTTGCCTGTAAGGTTTCTTTTGAGAAATCAGCTGATAGTCTTATGGGCACTTCTTTGTAGGTAACTGTCTCCTTTTCTCTTGCTGCTTTTAAGATTCTCTTCTTATCTTTCATCTTGGCTAATGTAATTATGGTGTGCCTTGGTGTGTTCCTCCTTGGGTCCACCTTCTTTGGGACTCTCTGAGCTTCCTGGACTTCCTGGAAGTCTATTTCCTTTGCCAGATTGGGGAAGTTCTCATGTATTGTTTGTTCAAATAAGTTTTCCACTGGTGGCTGTGCCTTTCCCCCTTCTGGTACCCCTGTAATTCAGATGTTGGAGTGTTTAAAGATGTCCTGGAGTTTCCTAAGCCTCTCCTCATTTTTTTGAATTCTTGTTTCTTTGTTCTTTTCTGATTGTATCTTTCTTTCTTCCCTCTGGTCCACCCCATTGATTTGAGTCCCAGTTTCCTTCCCACCACTATTGGTTCCCTGTACATTTTCCTTTATTTCATTTAGCGCAACCTTCATTTTTTCATCTAATTTGTGACCAAATGCAACCAATTTTGTGAGCATCCTGATTACCAGTGTTTTGAACTGTGAATCTGATATATTGGCTGTCTCTTCATTGCTTAGTTGTATTTGTTCTGGAGCTTTGATCTGTTCTTTTGTTTGGGCAATTTTTTTGTCCTGTTGTGCCTGTTATATATGTGGGGCCAAGCCTTAGGTGTTTATCAGTGCGGGGGTGCTGAGTTGTGAGGTTGTATGTGGGGGCAGGGTCTTAAAGGGAACCATGGCGCTTGCTTTGCTCTCTATGGGATTTCAGTCCCTTCTGCAAACTGGGCCCTTCTGGTGCTGATTCCTGGGTGGGCCGGCTTGTGTGCGTTCTAGGATCCTGTGGGGTCTCTCCAGTGAACTCTCCTGTGAGGCTGGGCATCTCTCCCAGAATCTCAACCCCCACAGGTGTTTTCAGTTGGTGTTTTAAGGCTTTATTTCCTAGCACTGAGACCCTGGGTTGCATGGTCTTTTTCCTTCCCCAGTTTCACCTGGTTTATCTATGCGCAAATGTGGGGCTGCTTGGTCAGCCAGCTGCCTTGTGCACTGTGCCCCTCCACAATATGCTGCTTGGCTGGGACTGCCTGCTGCTGCCTTGCACACCCGGTCTGCCAGCCACCGCTTTGCTGCGATTCCTCTCCACCCAGCTGCCCGAGTCCGCTCCTTCTACTGAATATGTCTATTTTAACTCCTTGGTTGTTAGACTTCCATTCAGTTTAATTTTCTAGCAATTCTGGTTGTTTTTTGTTTCTAAATTGTTGTTGTCCTTATTTTGATTGTGTGAGGAGGCACAGTGTTTCTACCTACGCCTCCATCTTGGATGGAAGTTTAAATGATAGACTTTTTAAGGGCATGGACACAGGTTCAAACTATTCAAAAACAAAGGAATGAAAAAGTGAATTTCAAGATAATGGTTCTCTGCCCTGACTGGTATGGCTCAGTGGGTTGAGTGCCGGCCTGCAAACTGAAAGGTTGCCATTTCGATTCCTGGTCAGGGGGCACCTGCCTGGTTTGTGGGCCAGGTCCCCAGTGGGGGGTGTGCAAGAGGCAATCACACATTAATATTTCTCTTCCTCTTTTTCTCCCTCCTTTCCCTTCTCTCTAAAAATAAAAAATAAAAATTTTTTTAAAAAGATGATGGTTATTTCTAGTGGCAGAATAGGGAAGAACATATAGGTAGCTTCACTGGGTTCAAATGTTGGATGGTGAGTTTAAAGGTGTTCATTGTATTGTGCTTCATAACTTATATATGTATTTTAGGTACAATTGATTAGAGAAAAGAATATAATAAAACAGCTTTAAAAGGTGCTTTTTAGATGAATTTATAATATACCATCCAATATTGAGGATGTTTTATCTGAGGGAGTTTGAATTACTTTATATATTTAATAAAAACAAATCTCATTTAATCAGTAAAACATTAAATGTATTCATATTCTTAACAGTCTTAAAATTTTAATTTTTAGTATATTACCTTTACTCAAACATTTTAGCTTAAGTTAAACCTCCAAGTATATTTATTTCTTAATAGCCACGTATAAATGTCCAATCCTTTCAAAAGTAAGTTTTAATTTTAGGGATCTTTTAATTTTGATGTTTATAAATTTAATTTTAAATATTATTTAAATAACTGCAGTTTAAACAAATTATTTATAGCAGGCATTCTCTTTACCATAGTTCTTCATTGTAAAAGGCGTTTAACATTTTCCTGTCTGTACTTCCTTTTTTATATGATTGTTCAGCAGCAAGGGCAAGTACTTCGTAACCTTCCCGTATCCATACATGAATGGGCGGCTTCATTTGGGACACACGTTTTCTTTGTCCAAATGTGAGGTAAAGCTTCCTCCATTTAATATAATGGGATGGTGGGTCTTTAATAAATACTAATTTGAAGAAAATAGTATCTATAGAATTCATTTCCTGTTAAGAGAACTTAGATTTCCTTAATTTTAAGCATAATTTTTATACTTAAGTAATTTAATTTTCGTGCGCTATGTATGTATGTGTGCAGTGGTCTAGGTATGTATGTTCACAAGAAATTTCGAAGTTGGTGAAAAGACACAAAAAAAGGGATAGTGGGTTAGAACTTTGGAATGACCATAAAATATTGTCAGTGTTTTAAAGGAGGATGTGAAGAGGAAAACTGAGCTGATGCTCTCTGTGAAAAGTTAGCATTTTCTATTTGCCTAGCATAGACATTTGTAATTTAAATTTAATTTTCTTTCTCTAGTTTGCAGTAGGGTACCAGAGATTGAAAGGAAAGATTTGCCTGTTTCCCTTTGGTTTACACTGTACTGGAATGCCTATTAAGGTAAGACTGATTTAGGTATTGGTTTCTATTCTTTTTGGCTTAGAACAAATAGAAATATACAGTTTGAGAGCTTAAAATAGGACTTTCAAATGCTTCTATATTAAAGTGACTTTGAAATGAATTTATTGTAGGGAAAATTATATTTAAAAAGCATTTCAAGAAGTGTTTAAATAAAGGGCACACATTAATAATGGTTTAAGTGATTTGGTACCTTTTGGTTGTCATATATTCATACTTTTGTGTCAGGTTAGACAATAACTACTACCAAGGAAAATGTGCATGTTTTGAGCATTCAGACATATAGGATGTTGGCATAAAGTAATAAAAACTTGTATCATATTTTGATTATTTTTGCAAATGTCTTCATTTATCATTAATTTATATTAGAAATAATTCTCAGTAAAGAATAGACCAGAACATTAGAGTCGAAGGGATTCCCTAAATGTTATAAGTTTAGGAAATTTAACCCAGATTTGTTTTTATTCTTCAATCATTTATTGTGAAAAATGTCAGACTTATAAAAAAAGTGAAAGGATAGTACAGTGAACACCAATACACTGTTCACTTAGAGTTACTAAGTGTTGACCTTTGCCGAAATTTAGTTCTGTCTCTCAAACACATAGAAACATACATGCTTTTTTCTTGCCTTTTCTATGAATTCTTTGAAAGTAAGTTGTAGCACCATGACATGTCTCCTCTGAATACTTCATCATGGTCTTTTGAGAGTAAGGGCATTCTACATGATTACAATGCCATTATCCCCTTGGAGGAGTTTAACATTGGTGTAATATCATTTTATTGATCTAATCTGTAGTCAGTTGTGGGTAGTTGTCTTAAAATGTTGTTTCTGTTGTTTTTTACTTTTTATTTTATGGATCACACATTGTAGTTTGTTACCATTTCTCTTTAGTTTTTCATGGCATTGATATCTTTGAAGAATTTTATAGACCATCCCATATTTTGAGTTTTTTTTATTGTTTCTTCATGATTAGATTTGGGTTATTTGACAAGAATATTACATAGGTGAGGTGTAAACTTCCCACTGATCACATCAAAAGGCATACAATGGCCGTCTGTCCCATTTTAGTGGTATTCAGTTAATACCTGTTAGATTTTTTTTTATTCTAAAGGTGGCTTTTCCCTTTTTTTAATTAAAAGGTAATCTTTAGGAGAGGCCGAAAGAAATACTTAGAGAGCCTCTGACTGTCTGGTTACCCAATAATCCAGTGGTTTTGGCATCCTATGATGTTCCTTGTTTGTTTGAATTATTGAATTGGTGGTTGTACAATGGTGTCATTCTTTCCTCATTTATTAACTGAAATTCTTCTGCATAAAAGAGTCCACTTTTTAAAATTGACAATTTTATATTTGTGTTTTTTCTTTCTTTTAATATATTTTACTGATTATGCTATTACACTTGTCCCATTTCCACCCCCCCATCATTCCCCTCCACCCTGCACTCCCTTTTCCACCCACATTCCCCTGCTTTAGTTCATGTCCATGTGTTATAAGTTCTTTAGCTTCTACATTTCCCATACTATTCTTGCCCTCCCCCTGTCTATTTTATACCTACCATCTATGCTACTTATTCTCTGTACCTTCTCCCCCTCTCTTCTCCCACTCCCCTGTTGCTAACTCTCCATGTGATCTCCATTTCTGTGATTATGTTCCTGTTCTAGTTGTTTGCTTTTGTTTTAGGTGTGGTTGTTAATATCTGTGAGTTTGCTGTCTTTTTACTGTACATATTTTTTATCTTCTTTTTCTTAGATAAGTCCCTTTAACATTTCATATAATAATGGCTTGGTCATGATGAACTTCTTTAATGTGACCATATCTGAGAAGCACTTTATCTGCTCTTTCCATTCTAAATGAAAGCTTTGCTGGATAGAGCAATCTTGGATGTAGGTCTTTGGATTTCGTGACTTGGAATACTTCTCTTCCAGCCCCTTCTTACCTGCAAGGTTTCTTTTGAGATACCAGGTGACAGTCTGATGGGAACTCCTTTGTAGGTGACTGTTTCTTTATCTCTTGCTGCTACTAGGATTCTCTCCTTCATTTTAATCTTGGCTAATGTAATTATGTTGTGCCTTGATGTGTTCCTCTTTTGAGTCCACCTTCTTTGGGACTCTCTGAGCTTCCTAGACTTCCTGGAAGTGTATTTCCTTTGCCAGATTGGGGAAGTTCTCATGTATTGTTTGTTCAAATAAGTTTTCCACTTGTTGCTCTTCCTCTTCCCCTTCTGTAATTTGGATGCTGGAACATTTAAAGATGTCCTGGAGGTTCCTAAGCCTCTCCTCCTTTTTTTGAATTCTTGTTTCTTCATTCTTTTCTGTTTGGTTGTTTCTTTCTTCCTTCTGGTCCACTCCTTTGATTTGAGTCCCAGTTTTCTTCCTATCACTATTGGTTCCATGTGCATTTCCCTTCATTTCACTTAGTGTAGCCTTCATTTTTTTCATCTCATTTGCAACCAAAGTCAACCAGTTCTGTGAGCATCCTGATCACCAGTGTTTTGAACTGTGCATCTGTTAGGTTGGCTATCTCTTGGTTACTTAGATGTATTGGCTCTGGGGCTTTGATCCGTTCTTCTGCTTGAGCTTTTTTTTTGGGGGGGGGTCTGGTCGCACCTGTTATGTATCAGGGGCAGAGCCTTAGTTGTTCACCAGTGTGGCTCAACCCAGTTGCTGAGTTGTGATCCTGTATATGGGGGCAGGGTCAGAGAGGGAACCATGGTGCGTGCTTTGCTTTCTGTCGGATTTCAGTCCCTTCTGCCACTTCCCTCAAGCAAACTGGGCTCTTCTGGTGTTTGTTCTTGGGCAGGTGGGTTGTGCACATACTAGGGCCCTGAGGGTCTCTCCAACAGACTCTTCTGTGAAGCTTGGAGTGTCTCCTGGCACCTCAACCCCCACAAGTGTTTTCAATTGATGCTTTTAGGCTTTATTTGCCATTGCTATGGACCTGGATTGTGTGGTCTGTCTCATTGCCCGTTTTTGTCTGATTTGTCTGTGCACGAATGTGTGACCGTGGTCAGCCAGGTGCTTTGTGCACCTCACTGGGTCTGCTTGTTTTGCCACTCTGCTCCCGGGATCTGTCAACGCTGACTGCGTGCCCAGGTAGGTCAGGCAGCCACCACTTTTTCTTGTCATGACCCCTCTTCACTGGCCGCGAACTCTACCCCTCTTACCAGTTTGGATGAATAGACGTCGGACTTCTGTACGGTTCAGTTTTCTGTCAGTTCTGGTTGTTTTTTTTGTTGTTCGTTTCTAAATTGTTGTCCTTAATTTTGGTTGTGGGAGGAGGCACAGTATGTCTACCTACGCCTTCATCTTGGTCAGAAGTCTCCTATATTTGTGTTTTTTTTCATACCTTGAACACTATCTCCTTGGAGTCATCTTTGTTTTTGACAGTGGACTCATTATGGTATAACTGAGAGGGAGGTTGGAAGCCCAGGTGCATGTGTGTGTTTTGCAGCTTGCTAGTTTTATAAGCTGTGGTAGATCTTCTCGTCTCTGTTTCTTTCCGTCTGTTTTCTGACTTCATATTTGTTTGTGATGATAAATAATAGAGTATATATAACAACCATTAAATTGAGAAATGCTATTATTAATATTGTTATTCAAAATAATAACACATTATACAATATATTATATATCCTTGTACTTCTAATGCCTAACATATAGTATACTACATTGAGTATTCTGGGTGCTAAATAAGTGCTTGCTGAGTGAATGTAAAATGCTAATTTATATATTAGTGAACTTAGGGGTACACGATTTGTATCGTTTGGATTTTCTGTAATGATCCACTTATATTGGATACATTGCAAAAATTTCAGTCAATTTTAGTTGGCCATAAGAACAAAAAAAAACCAGATTATTTCTACCTTGAATTTTAAACTTCACTGTTTTTAACATTGTGTTTGTGTAGGCATGCGCTGATAAGTTGAAAAGAGAAATAGAGGTATATGGTTGCCCTCCTGATTTTCCAGATGAAGAAGAGGAAGAGGAAGAAGTCAGTGCTAAAACAGAAGATATAATAATTAAGGATAAAGCTAAAGGAAAAAAGGTTTGGTGATTGATGATGCTTATTTTGGTTAAAGTTTTATATTTATGTTTGTCTGATCTATATGTTCATTCCAAGTACTAGCACAGTATATATATTTAAAAAATTTTATGATACCTGGGTTCGTTATAGTATTGGGGCTCATTCTAACATTCTATTCCTCCTTTTCTTATTGGTGACTTTTTTCTCCAACAGGGAGAAACCCGACTGTCCTTATTCACAGTATATGTATATATATTTGGTTTAGTCCTAGTATACTAGTAGTTTTAGAATTGCTAACCTATAACCCTGGGAGATACCATTTCATTAAATAAAGGACAGTGTTGGTATGTAGTTCTTTTTGTCTTTCAGTTAGCCCATTGTTTTTCAGTTACTTCCATAGCTCCTTCCTCATCCTTTTCAGAGTGGTTATATTATATATTTATAATATGATATGCTTAGCTACATTTGTTATAATCTGCATTCCAGCCTGGCTTCCTCCAACATCCTGGTTGAGTTTTAAAAAATATTAACTCTGGGACTTCTGGTCAAGATGGCAGAGTAGGTAAATGCTGTGTTCGCCTCCTCCCATGACCACATCAGAATTGCAGCTAAATTAGATCAGCCACCCTTGAGAACAAACAGAAGTCCTGTAACTAGGGATATAAAAGAGAAGTTATGTGGAGACTGAATATTAGTCAGAAATTGAAATGAACCAGATCATAGGTAAAATTATTTAAAAGATGGATATTAAAAAAATGCACTCTTTGTGGTGTATAGTTGTATTGATTTGACAAAGGCATGGGTCATGTTTCTACCACTGCTATATCATGTGGAGTAGTTCCATCACCTCCAAAACTCCCTGTCCTGCCTTTTTGTAGTTTAAACCCTTTGCCTACTTCCAACCCTTGGTATTTGGTTATCTTTTTGATATTGGTAAAGGTTTGAAAATGAATAAACTCTTGTGAGTATAGTCTAAGCCATCAAAATGAAAAAAGATGCATGTGCTATTGGGAGAGGGAAATAGAGGTTTGGCGTTGAGATCTTGTCTTTGTGATGATAGTTCTTTATGGTTCCACCCACTTGGTAGATTTCCTTGGTATCAGAGTCCTAGTGATTATGAAACTGTAAGTTTGGCAAGCAAATGGTCTGTCTAAATCCTGCAGTATTCTGACATATCAACAGCATTGTTTGGAAATTTAAAAAATTACCAAATGGGATTATTCACTTACAGATATTGTGGTCCTAGAATTTGTTAAGGTGTTGGTTGTTCTTTGATAGAGTATGTTTTTGCTGGTTATTTTCAGAGTAAAGCTGCTGCTAAAGCTGGGTCTTCTAAATACCAGTGGAGCATTATGAAATCGCTTGGTCTGGCTGATGAAGAGATACTCAAATTTTCTGAAGCAGAACATTGGCTTGATTATTTCCCACCACTGGCTATTCAGGATCTGAAGAGAATGGGTTTAAAGGTATGCCTATCACCACTGCAGTTCAGAAAATACAAAGAACACTATTACATTTATGTGATTACATGAGATTTGGACCAGGTATTACCTGAAGTGCTCTAATGAATTGGTACGTTTAGTCTCAGGCTAGAAGCTAATGGGCCTGTATGTGAACAGTAAAATACTTTAATGTTTGTCATATTAGAATGTATATCAATACATTAGCATTTAGTAGAAAGGAATTCTATTCAAAGAATATGAAGAACATTTAGGAATACTTAAAGGTATTATTTAAGTGTTCCTTTTGAGTTTATTACAGTTTCTATATGTTTAATATATGTGTGTGTTTAAAAATACACGTATTAAAAGTTGATGTAGTAATTGTGATATATGATAGGTGGAACTTAAATTTTTTTTTTTAAGATTTTATTTATTTATCCTGAGAGGGGAAAGAAAGGAGAGAAGGAGGGAAATATCAGTGTATGGTTGCCTCTTGTGCGTCCTCTGCTGGGAACTGGCCTGCAACCCAGGCGTGTGCCCTGACTCGTAATTGAACCGTGATCCTTTGGATTGCGGGCCCGCACTCAGTCCATTGAGCTACACCAGCCAGGGCTAAATTTTTGTTTTTAATATTTGATGTAATTTTTAGATGGAAAATAAAGAGTAGAAGAGTAAATATTGATTCTTAGGAATTCTCATTCATAGAGACTATACAGAACTTTACCTTTTCCTTTCTCCTTGTATAGGTAGACTGGCGTCGTTCCTTCATCACTACTGATGTTAATCCTTACTATGATTCATTTGTCAGGTGGCAGTTTTTAACATTAAGAGAAAGAAATAGAATTAAATTTGGGAAACGGTGAGTTTGTTGTCCTTCAATATGAAAAAGCAAAAATTACATAATTCTTGTATTCAGTGCCCCATAGGCTTCTTTGTTCTATTATCCTTTATTTTATTTTTTTTATGGTTTTGCTTTGCTTTTTTGTTCTCCTAAATTATTTTCCTTTTTGTATTACCATTGTCTTAATTCCTCTGAGCTGCTTTGTGTTTATGACAACTAGAACCAGGGAGAATAGGAGTGTTGGCTTTTATGATATCACTAAAGATTCTGTTCAGTATTCCCAGCCAAACAGAAAAGTCATTTTATTTGTGTTTTAGTTTATTCTTTTGTTCTGTAAATTGTGTAAGATTCTCCCTTGATTATGTAGAATGATTAAAAGCTATTTGTATTTCATAAGTGAATTTAAATTTTTAATCCATTGTTGATGAAGGCAGAAATCTTTTATTAAGTTAACTGTATTGGCAATAGAACTACCCATAAATGTATAAATAATAGATGTAGACATTTGTTCAGTTAGAATAAATATTGTAAGATATTTGCAATAGCACCGGCAAATATGTTAGGCTAAAATTTGTATATTATAGCAATATTTGTCACTTATTTTTTAGGTATACCATTTATTCTCCAAAAGATGGACAGCCCTGTATGGATCATGACAGACAAACTGGAGAGGTATTTATTTGTGACATAGAGTAGCTACCATTAATAATTCTTCATATGGCCATAGAGTTTTAAGAAATAGATCAGCGCTGGCTGGTGTGGCTCAGTGGATTGAGTGCTAGCCTGCGAACCAAAAGGTCTCTGGTTCAATTCCTAGTCAGGGCACATGCCTGGATTGCTGACCAGGTCCCCAATAGGGGGCATGCGAAAGGCAACAGATCCGTATATATCTCATGTATTGATGTTTCCTTTCCCCTCTTTCTAAAAATAAATAAATAAAATCTTAAAAAAAAAGAAATAGAAGCCTAAAACATAACTTTATTCCAGTGCTGAGGTACATTGTAGTGATACTCTGGTGGCAGTAAAGAGGGAGGTAGAATGCTGTTATGGGTTTCTGTATCTTGTCTTGGGCCTTGCTTCTCCAAGAGTGGCCCTAGAACAGCTACATCAGCTTGTGATAGACAAGCAGTTCTGATCCTTATCCTAGACTGCTGAATTAGAAGTTCTGGGGCCCAGGAATCTGTCTTTTAATAAGCGCTCGCTGTGATTCATGTGCATGCTAACATTTGTGAAGCACTGCCTGGAGACTGCTCTGCTCTGAAAAGATGGTGAGGAAAGGGCTGTGAGATTCAGGGCTGACCTATGCACACAGATTCCGTTTGTTCTTGCTTTGATTATATGCCTACTTGCTTCTTTCCAAAGTACTTTTAGTCATCATGATGCCAGTTCACCCTATGTTCCTATAAGACACATTACTAACATTATTCCTGGTACTGCTTGAGTGCAGCAAGGGTAATTTGCGTAAAGCCTTTGCACAGTAAACCAACATGCCAACATCTGCACTTAGGAGACCCAACGAGTGTGTCTTCCTTTGTTACCACCTTTGAATGCATTTGCAGTCTAGTGACTGCTTGCAACAATCAGCCCTCAATAAAAATGTTACTCATCTGATAGGAGTGAGACTTGATTAAAATTTTGAAAACTTTGAGAGACTTCAGAAGGCCCAGTTTACTGACTAAAAAGTTTTAATATAGTTAATGGCAGCGATATCCTAAATTTTAATAGTATATTATACTTTTTCAAAGCATTTTTGTATTCATTGTCTTATGTGCTCCTCAGGATAGTCTTCTGTGAGGCTCAAAGAGATTGTGACTCCCTTGGGTGAAGCATTAAGGATCCAAGCTAGCTTTTGAATGCACTTCACCAGACCCTGGGTCTAGTGTGTGTCTGCGATAACTGCTCTGTGGCATTGCTGTCTTCTCATTTTCATTTTGGCAAAAAAACTGTTTTAATTGATTACTCCAAGGTGCTTTTTTTTTTTTTAACTGTCCTCCCCTTTCAAGGGAGTTCCCAACAAACCGTCCCTACTCAGTAGAGTCTGGGTCATGTTTCTGAGTTCTTGTGTGGGGTGGAAGGGTGATCCCCCAGGGCACTTCTTACACATTAGACATCCGTGTGGATGTGGCCAGCACACCACTTGCAGTCTCTTCATTGGAAGAAAGAATAAGTCTAACAATGCAAGAATTGATCTTAGGAATTTGAATCTTATCTCTCACATAGACTAGGAGGTGTAATCTAAGTCTTTTTTCCTTTCAAAGTTTTGTTTTGTTTCTTTGTTTAGGGTGTTGGCCCTCAGGAATATACTTTAATCAAGTTGAAAGTGCTTGAGCCATATCCACCCAAATTAAGGTAGGTTTGTCAAAGAGTTATGTTTCAGCTGTTTGAATATCAGATACGTGTGATAGAATCCACACTTTTTTTTTTTTTTGCTTTAATACATTTTTTTCTTCTTAGTGGCCTGAAAGGGAAAAATATCTTCTTGGTAGCTGCTACTCTCAGACCTGAGACCATGTTTGGACAAACAAACTGTTGGGTTCGCCCTGATATGAAGTACATTGGGTTCGAGACAGCAAATGGTGATATATTCATTTGCACCCAAAGAGCTGCCAGAAATATGTCATACCAGGGCTTTACCAAAGACAATGGCGTGGTGCCAGTTGTTAAGGAATTAATGGGAGAGGTAAGTTTGGTAGCAGACTTTTTATTTTAGTGCATAAATTTAGAGGAAAAATTCTAACAGTGAAACTTGAGGCATACTTACAGTATGGGACATATTGTAAGTATGCCTCAAATTGAGACATACTTACAGTCAAATGTGTGAAATCATAAGTGTATATTTTGGTGCATTTTCATGTGTGTATACACACTCATGTCAGTCAGCATCACTCAAATCGAAATGTAGAACAGTTCCAGTTTTCCAGAAGGCTCTCTCATGTACATTCCATAGTGAGTTTTCACCGTCCTCCTGAAAAGATGGTTCACTATTTGACTGCACCACAGTGCAGTGACCCTTTCTTTGTAATGGATGTTTGATTATTTCATGTTTTTTTCTGTTATATCCTATTAGTATTGTACCTGATGTTAGAGTTCTGTCTGAGCAGTTTTTGGAAATAGTATTAATGACATAGATTTTTAACTAACTCTAATGAAACTTCTTTCCATGTTAATTTGAGTCGATTCTGGGGTGAGGAAAATGCATGGTATAAATTAAAAACTAGCTTTCAACCTTTAAGATGGTTACAGTAGTTAGCTTTCACCAGTATTATTTTAAATGCTGTATGAGCAGCCTGTCTGATACAGTGGGGTGGGTGGGGACTGTGTGGAACTGAAAAGTTCATTCCTTAGCAAAACAAGCAGCTGTAAGCTGTTTGTCACATATGGGAATATGGGTCCAATATTTTTGCATCTTCTGATTTTTTTTAAGAGAAACCAGATAGATCTTTTTAATTAACTTTGTCTTTCCAATTATCATTTAAAATGGGTATACAGTATTCTAGCTTGTTGAAGTCTCATATTTCATTAAATAATTTTTCTATCATTTAAAGTTTTATTTGTTTCTAAGTTAACACAGCATTGGGCAGACTTCTCAAAGAAAAACAGGTTTTTTTCCTTAACCTTTGAGGTACATTTCTAGGATTGGATTGCTGGGTCTGAGTTGTATGAACATTTTTGTGGCTCTTGCTCTGGATTCTATGTCATTTTCCTTAAGGGGTAGGTACCATGTCACAAGTAATGTGTTTGTGTACTAATTTCTTTAAGACCTTAATAATTATTTACAATGACTTTTGGTCTAGTTGGTATAAAAGAATGACTTTTGCTATACTTCATATATTTTTGATTTCTAGGTTCTTGGGCTTAAAATAGTAACATTGTTTTCAATTTTATTAGTTAAACTAAGTTTCTTCACCATATATGCTCATCTTTTCCTTCCACAGGAAATTCTTGGTGCATCGCTTTCTGCACCTCTAACATCATACAAGGTGATCTATGTTCTCCCAATGCTCACCATTAAGGAGGATAAAGGTAAAGAGTTTATTTCTCTGTAGAAGTACTGTAGTAATTACATCTGGCTGTATTAATCAGTCCCACACTCTGTTTTACAAGGTACTGGTGTAGTCACAAGTGTTCCTTCTGACTCTCCTGATGATTTTGCCGCCCTCAGGGATTTGAAGAAAAAGCAAGTGAGTATCTGAGTTTCACATTCTTTTTTCCGCTCATCATTTACTTGGTCAGGTACCGCTGAACTACACTATAGGCTTAGGCTAAAAAGCTACTTGTGTATCTTTGAACTGTAATTTATAACTTATTTCTTGATGTATGTGTATTTTCCTGTAGTTTGAATCTTGAATATATGTATTTTGGGGATATTTTTTTAAGACTTTATGTTTTCAGAGCAGTTTTAGGTTTACAACAAAATTGAGAGAAAGGTGCAGAGATTTCCCATGTGCCCCCTGCTCCAACACACACACACACACAGCCACCCCATTAGCAATACCACTCTCCAGAGTGGTACCTTTTTACCAGGATAAACTTATACTGGCAATCATAGTCACTCAAAGTCCATAGTTCACCTTATGGTTTAATCTTGGTTTTGTGCATTCTGTGGCTTTGAACAAATGTATAATGACATCTATCATTTTTATATCACGCAGAGCATTTTCACTGCTTTAGAAGTTGTTTATGCTTTTCCTGTTGATTTCTCCCCATCCTCCCATCGTTGACAACCACTGTCTGCTTGTCTTCAGGGTGTTACCTTTTCCAAAATGTCATATAGGTGGAACCTTATAGTATGTAGCCTTCTCAGATTGAATTCTTTCACTTAGTAATAGCATTTAATGTTTCTCCATGTCTTTTTATAGCTTGATAGCTTATCAGTTTTCAGTGCTGAATAATATTTTGTCTGGATTCATGGCCTATTTATCAATTTACCTACTGAAGAACATGTTGGTTGCTAACAAGTTGGTTGGCAGTTATGAATAAAGCTGCTATAAACATTCATGTGCAGGTTTTTCTGCGGACATAACTTTTTAGCTCTTTTGAGTAAATACCAAAGAATGTGACTGTTGGATCATATGGTAGGAATCTGTTTTGTTTTGTATGAAACTGCCAAACTGTCTTCCAAAGTGCCTGTACCATTTTGCATTTCCACCATGTGAGAGTACCTGTTGCTCTGCATCCTCATTAGCATTTGGTGTTATCAGTGTTTAGAATTTTGACCGTTTTAATAAGGTGTGTGGCGGTATCTCATTGTTCTTTTGATTTATATTTCCCTGATGACATATGATGTGGAGCATCTTCTCATAGGCTTATTTGCCCTTTGTATACCTTTGGTAAGGTATTAAGGTTAAGGTCTTTGGCTCATTTTTTAATCAGGTTGTTTATTTTCTTATCACTGAGTTTTAAGAGTTCTTTATATATTTTGGATAACAGTCCTTTATCAGATACGTCTTCTATAAATATTTTTTCGGGTCTGTTGCTTGTTTTATAATTTTTTGATATTGTCTTACATAGCAGAAGTTTTTGATTTTCAGGAACTCTAGCTTATTGTGGAGGCAACTTTCCTCACAAGTCCCCCTGTGTGCCATGGATGAAAGTAAATATGACTGAGACATGATGTGATCTGCTTAGGGAGAAGAAGTGGCCATTTTCCCAGAGGAAAAAGGCCGTTAGCAGTGGCTAGTTTCTCAGGGAAAAAAGGCCAGCAGTGACTAGTTTCTCCAAGGAGAAAAAGCCCTTGAGCCCCTTCCTCCAGGGCCTTTTATTGGGTTCTAATACACAGGAGTACAGGGTGGCGAGGATTAAACAGTAGATAACATTTCAAAGAAACCTGAGAGCTTAGTATGAGTCAGAGTCTGTCAGGAACAGAATTTTAGGGTTTCCTGCTCGAACCCTTAACATATGAATGAAAATACTCTTAGCAGAGCAGATTTCACAAGTTCATCAGGAAGTCTTGGTGATGCCAGATTTTTCCCCTGGACACACTCTAGCAAGGCAAGGAGCTACACTCCTCCCCAACAAGTGTTTAGGCTTAAGGGGATTAGAGCCAGGAAGCACTACTCCTAGAGAACATGGGGACTCGGGCTTTGTCAAAGCTGGGGGGGGGTGGCGAGAGTCCACTGCTCTTTGTTGCAGCCCCCTGAGTCTTTCCATGAAGGCCTCCAAAATGATCGAGTCTGGCTTAGGTTGCCCCCTGCTGTGAGGGGAGCAATTGACTTCCGACCAAGCTTTGGGGGCAGGGAGAGGAAAGGAGGCAGCATTTGCTACCAGAGACAGGCTTTGTCTCCTACGGCTGGCATTCCAAAGGTCGTCTCTCACCCTTAGCCACAGGGGGTTGAGATACAGTTCCTAGAACCAGGTAGCTGTCTACAACAGCTCATCAATTATTTCTTGTATAGGTTATTTCTCTGCTGTTTTATCTAAAAAGGCTATCACTGTACCTAAGGCTATGTAAGGTTTTCAACTATGTTTTATGGCTTGGGGTTTTACATCTAGATCTATGATCTATTTTGAGTTAATTTTTGTACAGGTGCAAAACCTGTGTTTAATTCTGTTTTTTTTTGCATGTGTTATGTCTATTTGTTCTAGCAACAATAGTCAAAGATACTGTCTTTGCCTCATTGTATTGCCTTTGCTCCTTTGTCAGACATTGATTGACTATTTATGAGGACCTACGGGCGGTCTGTTCTGTTCCATTGCTCCATTGGTTCTTTAAGCAGCACTGCGTCTTGATTACTACAGTTTTATAGCAATTCTTCAAGTTGAATAGCATCAGTCCTGCGGCTCTGTTCTTGCCTTTCAGTGTTCAGTTGTCTATTCTGGGTCTTTTTGCTTCTCCACGTAAACTTTAGAATTTTTTTTGTTGACATCCACAAAATAAATTGCTGGGATTGCATTAAATCTATAGGTCAAGTTGGGAACAACTGAAATCTTGAAAATATTGAGTCTTCCAATCCATGAACATGGGATATTTTTCCATTTTTTTATCTCTTTGATTTTGTTCATCAGAGTTTTGTAGTTTTCCTCACATAGGTGTTATATATATTTTGTTAGTTTTTTACCTAAGTATTTAATTTTTTGAATAGTAATGTAAATGGTGTTATGTTTTTAATCTTAAATTCTACTTATGTATTGGTACATAGGAACATAATTGACTTTTGTATGTTAACCTTTTATTTTTATTTTTTAAAAGATTTTATTTATTTATTTTTGGAGAGAGGGGACAGGAGGGAGAAAAAGAGAAACGTCAATGTGTGGTTGCCTCTGGAGCACCCCCTACTGGGGACCTGGCCCACAAGTCAGGCATGTGCCCCAAATGGGAGTCAAACTGGCTATCCTTTGGTTTGCAGGCTGTTGCTCAATCCACTGAGCCACACCAGCCAGGGCTGTATATTAACCTTTTATCCTGCACCCTTGCTGTAATTGCTTACTAGTTTCAGAGGGCTTTTTAAAAAATTTATTCTTTTTTGGATATTCTGTGTTGATGATTATGCCAACCTGTATATCTTTCTTTTTCCTGCCTTATTATATTACCAAGAATATGCAGTGTGAGGTTAAGAAGTAGTGGTGAGAGAGGACATCCTTACCTTTACCTGTTCTTAGTGGGAGGGCTTTGGGTTTCTCATCATTACGTATGACGTTAGCTGTAGGTTTTTTATAGTCTTTATGAAATTGAGTAAGCCCCTCTCTATTCTAGTTTACTGAGAGTTTTTATCATGAATGGGTTTTGGGTTTGGTCATATGTTTTTTTTCATGTGTTGATATGATCATGTGAATTTTTCTTTTTTAATCGGTTGATGTGATGGATTTCCTTAAACTTCTGAAAAGATTTCTGATACATTTTTATTGCAACCTAGAATATGAACCTTATTTTAAGTGAAGTGTGTGTCTGTGTGTGTGTCTGTGTGTATGTGAATTTTTGTTTTGGCTGTACAGTTTCATCATTTAAGCCATTCATTATAACCTAAACTTTGAGTCTTTAGAAATCATAGATTCCTTCTTGAGATATTTGATGAAGATAAAAAATTGCTCGGTATGGAAAGGAGAAGAAATAATAGCTTTATAAACAGCTTGGGGGTTTCTTCTCTCAATGATTAAATGATTATACCAATAAAGTATTGATCATTAATGTTAACTTGCAATTCTTTTGTAGGCCTTACGAGCAAAGTATGGAATTAGAGATGACATGGTCTTGCCATTTGAGCCAGTGAGTACAGAGATTTCTCAGTATATTCATATCTATACTTTTATCAGAGTGAAAAAGAGAGCTTACATTTACCTTGTAAGAAAATTAAATAACAAATGGAGCATGGAAATAAGAGGGAGTTTACTTGAGAGTTTGTTTTAATTTGGTAGCTGCTATGGAAGATAGAGAGAGAAAAAGTAACAATAAGCATTTTCTTAGCACCTAGCACCTGAAATTTTAGAATAAACAAATGGCTTTTTAGCATCACCAATTTTATGTAGCTTATTCTGCTAGTTTGGCCAATTTCCAGGCTTCCGAGGACAAAATGTTAATGTTTTCATATTAATGGCTGCAGTAGAAAAAATTAAATTACTAGCAAATACTTCTCATGAAAAATCCAGAGTACTTACTAGAAACCAAAAACAAGACCCTTCAAAAATTTAGTTGTTAACACAATTTTGCTAGTTTGTGTTAGTTATTTAGTTGATTTGATGCCAGTGTAGGGGTGAGAGCTGGGGAAGGTGAATGTGTAGTAAGTGAGGGACATTGTGGGGGTTGCTGTACAGATTTGGGTCGGTCCTGTGGAGAGAAGGAAGACAGATTTACATCGGTATGTTTGTTAGTCACTGTGTGAGTGTGACTTCCTAATGCTTGGTACTGTTATAATGATACATAGAATCTGAAATGACTTGATGGGATAGAAGAGGCAAAAAAAAAAAAAAAGGACAGTGCTCTTTTTGTGTATGCTCATTCAGGGTGAATAAGTTCCTGATGTCTTTTTTTTTTGCAGGTGCCAGTCATTGAAATCCCTGGTTTTGGAAATCTCTCTGCTGTAACCATTTGTGATGAGTTGAAAGTTCAGAGCCAGAATGACCGAGAAAAGCTTGCAGAAGCAAAAGAAAAATTATATCTAAAAGGGTTTTATGATGGTGTAAGTAATAATTCTTTTATTTTTATTTGATTTACTCCATGTTCTGTGATTTTCTTTTTAATGATTTAAAAAATACATAGAAAAATTCAGTATAGTTTCAGTCACATACTGACCTATGGCAGACTGATGTGATATTAAGAAAAGAGTCTTCTATTCGCAAACTTTCTAAAATCTTTTTTGGGGGGGGGTGATAATAATATTTACAGAAGTTACATGTTTATGCCCCCTGTAGGAATCTCTTAAAGAATGAATTTCTTGAGAGGATATTTAGTTAGTTCTATTATTCAATAAACTCCAAAGGTCTATTGCATGGACAGTACTTGTTTCCTTCTTTTGCTCCTTAAATTAAGAGTTTTGTATTTTAAGTAAGCAGTTTTATTCAGGTCATTACTTCACTTGTTAATGACCACGAAATGTCAGGTGACCACAACAAACATGATCTGAACCTCCTCTTTTGTCACTGTGCACATATTAGTGTACCATACCCCATTTCATGGAGAGAAGACTGAGTCAGAGAAAGTAAAAATTCAGCTAAGGTTAAAATGAAGATTTAAAACATTTTTTTTGATTACAGTTGACGTGTGCAGTATTATTTTAGTTTCAGATGTACAACATACTGGTTAGACATTTATATACCTTAGCAAGTAATCATCCTGATAAGTCTAGTACCCATCTGACACCATACATAGTTAAAGTGAAGATATTTAAGGACGTAAATGAGAATTAAAAAAATTTTACCTTTGTTGTTATTTTTCTGGATAACAAAGAATTGGTTATGTCTTTTTTAAGTGACTTACACATTTTGGGTGATAATAAAAGCCAGTACCTATATAGTACTTTCCCATAAACTTATTTAAATGTCAAAATAACCTCATGATGTAGGCACTATTTTCCCCATTTTACAGATAAGGAGATTGAGGCACTAAGAGATTAAATAATTTACCCTATATCAGCCAGGTAGCCTGCAAGTGACAGAACCGAGATCCAGACTAGGCACCTTGGCTCTAGGATTTGCACTCTTCACGACTGCATCATAATGATCAAGAAGTATAATTTCATAATGATGAATTAAATAGGTATGAAGCATTTTGGGGATGTTGGAGGATTGGAAGTTCAAAAAAGAACTTGTGTCTTTTGCTTAGAATCTGTTTGAGAGACACATAAGTCAGGTAGAGGGAAGTCAGTTTCATCTGGAAAGGGGATTGTGGCTTAGAATTGTGACAATGGCAAGCTACTACTTTGCTCTAGAATTAAATTTCCCCATTAAGTAAAAGGCAGAGTTGAAAAACTGTAGGCCTTCCTCTCAGAGCTAAGTTTATCACATGGCCAGGCAAAGGGGAATGCTTGTTGGTAACAGGTGGATTTGGAAAGAGAAGCCTAAGTGGGGCTGAGCTGGATATGGTTAGCTCCTTCTCCCAAAGTCTCCAGGAATGAGGGGAGTTAGTGTTGTGGAATTCTCTCCACACAGAAAACTGAGAAGGGGAAAGGAAGTGTTTCTTCCTAATCATCTTCTTGACAGCTATCCTAATTATACTAAAAGAAAAACAAATGTGTTACAAATATTAGTTGTCCAGGCTATGCCAAAATTAAAAATTATGGTTATGTGATACATTTCATGATAAAAATATATTGGGTTGGTGGGTGGAAGTAAATTTAGTTAGGGAAAAGTTTGGGGGAGGGAACACAAAGCCAATTTTAATTATTTTCTGTGTGTTTTTTCCTTACTCTCATCCTTTAAGGTAATGTTGGTGGATGGATTTAAAGGACAGAAGGTTCAAGACGTAAAGAAGAACATTCAGAAAAAGATGATTGACACTGTACGTACGTGATAGGCTATCCTCTGAAGTCCGTTTTAGGAGAAAAGCTTTTAGCTAATATACAGACTTTACAGTGTTTATTAGCCCAATGAGTCTGTAGTAAAACTGTGAGCTTTATTAAAGACAGTGTATAGTTTTGTGGCAGAAAATAGACCTATTAGCAATTCATGTAAGTTGAATTTTCTACCTGCAACATTGATGAAAGTAGTGTTCTAAAGTAGACAGGTACAAAGCACATACAAAAGAACTGGAACATACTTCTGGCTTAGCCAGTTGAGATGCTAGTAGTTACAATTCTCTCTTTATGTAGTGCTTTATTTTTTACTTTTATCTTCTCCCCCATCTTTGTTTTTGCTGTAACTTCTATTAAGCTACTTAACTACTTGTTACATTAAACTTTTGTTTTTGCCAGTTATATGTTCGCATAATACAGAGAGACAATGGTCTGTAAGGCTTATTAAAATGAAAAAGCCACAGTTTCCTCTTTATCTTTCCATGGTTCTCTTAAATGTCTCTTTTTTGGAGAGACTTACTTTCAGCCATTTTAGAATTGATTTCCCTCTGTCTTACAGCTCTCGAATCTAAATGTAGTTTATAGTATAACTTTGGTTTTATTTGTTTTGGTTTTGGCACCAGCCATTGATGTCTCCTATGAAAGATCAGGATTTAACTCTTCCTCCCACCTGGTGGCTTCCTCTCTAACATCACACACATCCACGTATACTTTTTCATGAAAAGTATACACCCATCTTCCTGGTGTAGGTGTATCATCATTTATGTGAGAGCAGTAGTCAGTATTTACATTTTTGGGATGTGACTGATCTACAGTGTATACGGTGAGAATTTTTCTTCCTTAGCTTTTGGTTTTCCCTAAGTTAATAATTGTCTTTTTCAAAAAAATTTCTGACTTCCGGCCAAGATGGAGGCGTAGGTGGGAACACTGCCTCCTCACATAATGAAGTTTAAAGACAACAAAGATTTAGTAACAAAATCGCAACCAAAACACACAGAAAATTGAACTATACAGAAATCTGACAACAATGAACCATTCAGCCAGACCGGTAAGAGGGGCAGAGTTAGTGGCTGGCGGAAAGTGGTCGTGCAGGAAAAAGTGGCCAGACTGACCCAGGTGCGCAGGTGGTGGTTGGCAGATCCCAGGCGTGGGGTGGCAACGGGCAGACCCAGTGAGGGTGCAAGGTGGCTGGCTGACCAGTCAGTCCCACATTTATGCGCAGATAAACCAGGCAAAGGAATGAGCAGTGAGACAGACCGTGCAACCCAGGGCCCCAGCAACAGGAATTAAAGCCTAAAAGCACCAGTTGAAAAACTTTCAGGAGTTGAGGTGCCAGGAGAGGCTCCCAAGCTCACAGAGAGTTCGTTGGAGAGACCCACAGGGTCCGGGAGGGTGCACAATCCCACACACCTGGGAATGAGCACCAGAAGGGCCCAATTTGCTTGCGGGAAGCAGCAGAGGAGACCTAAATCTGAGAGAGCAGAAAAAATGCCATTGTCCCTCTCTCACCCCTCCCCCACATACAGCATCACAAAGCAGCAACTTGGGTTGCCCTGCCCTGGTGAATACTTAAGGCTCCACCCCTCATACATAATAGGCACAAACAGACCAAAACATTATGGCTCAAAAAGAACAGCTCAAAGTCCCAGAGCCAATACTTCTAAGTAACCAAGAGATAGCCAACCTATCAGATGCACAGTTCGAAACACTGGTGATCAGGATGCTTGAAGAACTGGTTGATTTTAGTCACAAATTAGATGAACAAATGAAGGCTAAACTAAGTGAAATGAAGGGAAATGCACAGGGAACCAACAGTGATGGGAAGGAAACTGGGACTCAAAATCAAAGGAGTGGACCAGAAGGAAGAAAAAAATGACCAAACAAAAGAATGAAGAAACAAGAATTCAAAACAGTGAGGAGAGGCTTAGGAACCTCCAGGACATCTTTAAATGCTCCAACATCCGAATTATAGGGGTACCAGAAGGGGAAGAGGAAGAACAACAAGTGGGGAACTTATTTGAACAAATGATAAAGGAGAACTTCCCGTCTCTGGCAAAGGAAATAGACTTCCAGGAAGTCCAGGAAGCTCACAGAGTCCTAAAGAACTTGGACCCAGGGAGGAACACACCAAGGCATACCATAATTATATTAGCCAAGATTAAATGAAGGAGTGAATCCTAGAAGCAGCAAGAGATAAGGGGACAGTCACCTACAAAGGAGTTCCCATCAGACTGTCAGCAGATTTCTCAAAAGAGACCTTACAGGCAAGAAGGGGCTGGAAAGAAGTATTCCAAGTCATGAAATCGAAAGACCTACATCCAAGATTGATCTATCCAGCAAAGCTTTCATTTAGAATGGAAGGGCAGATAAAGTGCTTCTCAGATAAGATCAAATTCAAGGAGTTCATCATCACCAAGCACTTATTATATGAACTGTTAAAGGGACTTACCTAAGAAAAAGAAGATAAAAATTATGAACAGTGAAAGAACAGCAAACTCAGTTATTAACAACCACACCTAAAACAAAAGCAAACTAAGTGGACAGCTAGATCAGGAGTAGAACCATAGAAATGGAGATCGCATGGAGGGTTAGCAACAGGGGAGTGGGGGGAGGAGAAGGGGGGAGAAGGTACAAATAAAAAATAGCATAGATGGTAGGTAGAAAATTGATGGGGAGGGGAAGAATAGTGTGGGAAATGTAGAAGCTGAAGAACTTGAGACACATGGACATAAACTAAAGGGGGGAAATGGTGGGAGGGTGTGCAGGGTGGAGGGGAATGAAAGGGGGGAAATGGGACAACTGTAATGGTATAATCAATAAAATACATTTAAAAAAATATATGTAGACCCTGGCCTGATGGCTCAGTTGGTCTCTGTCATCACATGATACCAAGGTTATAGGTTTGATCTCCAGGCAGGGCAGGGCACAAGAAGGAATCAAGCAATGACTGTATAAATCCGTGGAACAACAAATCAAAGTTTCTCTGTCTCTCCCCTTTCCTCTAAAATCAATCAATAAAAATTTTTTTAAATGTAAAAAAAAATTTTTTACCCCGTTTTTTAGGCCTGAAGCAAGGATGTTTATTGATCTTAGAGAGAGAGAGAGAGAGAGAGAAACATCAATGTTCAAGATAAACATAGATCAGTTGCCTCCTGTATGCACCCCAAGTGGGGATTGAACCCACAACCACAACCCACATTGGATGACGCTCCAGTCAACTGAACCACCCACCCAGGTCAAAAATTTCCTTCTAAGTATATTTCTCAATATACCATACCAAACTCTGTCCCATCTGTTCATTTCTGCTTTCGATACCTTCAGACGCATTATGCTTTAGGTTCCATCTTGGAGAACACTCTTCCAGAGCCTTCAGGCCAGTTTGAGTCTGTGTTGGCTGCCTGCTGTCCTGGGGCACTGGTGTCCTCAGCAGTCTTTCTCCACCATTACTGAGGATTTCTTTTGCTGCCCTTGACTTGGACGCCACCCTGTTTCCTTGATTCCCTGGCCGCTTCTTTCTTATTTATTCTTTTATTTTAGTGAAGCTCTGCCTCTAGTATCTTTCCTGAGAAAAGTATCTGGAAGGTAAATTTTGGGGCCCTTCCATGTCTCAAATATTTTTATTCTGTCCTTATTTGCCCTTGAGTGCAGAATTCTGGGTTGGAAATAATTTCCCCTTAAAATTTTGAGGGCATTACCTATGGTGTTCTGGTTCAGTGGTGCTTTTGAGAAGTCCAAAAGCATTTTGGTAATAACTGCTCTTTTATAAGTGACTTGTGTTTCCCCTGCTTCTGGAAGCTAGTGAAATATTATTCTTTCTCCCAGTATTCTAGAATTTCATGTGACTCGCCTTGGTTTAGGTCAGTTTTAATTCATTCTTCTTGGTTTTTGGGCTTCAGTCTGAAAACTTGTATTCTTAATTTGGGAAAATTTTTGTCTTTTTTAAAATTTCATCTTCCTATTCTTTATTTTTGCTTTCTGAATTCATACAGTTCAGATATTGGACTTCTTATATTCTGGAAGTGTATACTCTTGCTTTTCTGAGAGAGTCCCTCAACTCTGTGTGTGTGTGTGTGTGTGTGTGTGTGTATCAGTGAGTGTTTACTGTTTTTTTTTTTAAATATCTGGTAGTTGGGTGTGCATGTGTTAAATATAAATAAAAATTTCTAAAAATTCATTAAAAAATCTTCTTAAACAGAAAACTTACAAATAAGTGGGGAGTAGTATGATGAGTTCCTTAAACCCTTTACCCAACTTACCCGGCATCAACTCAGAACCACCTGAAGAGCTTATTCTTGTTTTCTGACTTTTTATGGGCTATTCTTACTTTATGGATGTGAATTTTTTTTTTTTTTTTAAGAATTGAGATATAATTGACAGATGTGAAATCTTAATCTCTTATTTCTTTGAGGAAGACTTGATTATTTAAGACTGGGCACAGAAAGGTTATTGGAACCTTTGGGATGTAGGTAGGACTTGTCACTGGGCTTTGTTGGGCAGATCTGGAAGGGCCATTTGTGCCTTGGGGAAGCCCTGATGTTAGGGCTTTTGGGGTTTGTTAGGTTCCTCACAAAAGATTCTTCCCATCTCTGGCTTAAAGTGTCTAATGGTCTAAGCTAACTAAGCATTCTGGAAGCTGAATTTCGAAAAGTTGGAGAAGATCGCTAGCATTTGTACCAACACCCAGTGTGCTTTCACTTTGTCCCCATTTTCACTGTGACACTCATATCCTCAGCTTTGTCCTCTGGGTTGGGGACTCTTTTTATCCTCTCCAGAGAATAAACCTTCATTGTTCTTTTGGCACAGGGAGGGTCAGTTAGTTGCCTATCAGCATAGTGCAGGATTTGGGAATGTGGGTTTCTAACCCCTTCTTTAAAGGACAGTGCTTCTCGAGACTTCCCACAATGAAAATTAAGGACAACAAAGGTTTAGAAACAAAAACCACCAGAACAGGCAGAAAATTGAACTGTACAGAAGTCTGACAACCATTCAGCTAGACCGGTAAGTGGATTAGGCAGCTGGCAGAGAGGGATCATGGCAGGAAAAGGCAGTGGCAGCCAGACCCAGGAGTGTAGGCAGCATGGGGCAGACCATGGTCACACATTCGCGCACAGGTAAACTAGGCAAAAATGGGCAGCAAGACGGACCATGTAACCCAGGGCCCCAGTGATAGGAAATAAAGCCTAAAAACACTGATTGAAAAGGTGCCTGCTTGTGGGAAGTGACAGAGGGGGCTGAAATCCGAGAGAGAACAGAACAAGTGCCATTGTCCCTCTCTGACCCTACCCCCACATACAGCATCAAAACCCAGCAAATGGGGTGACCCTCCCTGGTGAACACCTAAGGCTCTGCCCCTCATACATAACAGGTGCACCCAGGCCAAAAAAAAAAAAAAAAAAGGCCCAAATGGAAGAACAGATAAAAGCTTCAGAGCAAATACAACTAACCAACAAAGAAATAGCCTACCTATCAGATGCACAGTTCAAAGCACTGGTGATCAGGATGCTCACAGAACTGATTGACTTTGGTTGCAAATTAGATGAAAAAATGAAGGCTACACTAAGTGAAATGAAGGGAAATGCACATGGAACCAATAGTGATGAGAAGAAAACTGGGACTCAAACCAATGGAGTAGACCAGAAGGAAGAAAGAAACAACGAAACAAAAGAATGAAGAAACAAGAATTCAAAAAAATGAGGAGAGGCTTAGGATCTTCCAGGACATTTTTAAACATTCCAACATCCGAATTACAGGGGTACCAGAAGGGGAAGAGCAAGAGCAAGAAGTGGGAAACTTATTTGAACAAATGATAAAGGAGAACTTCCCATCTCTGGCAAAGGAAATAGACTTCCAGGAAGTCCAGGAAGCTCACAGAGTCCCAAAGAAAGTAGACTCAAAAGAGAAACACATCAAGGCACATAATTACATTAGCCAAGATTAAATGAAGGAGAGAATCCTAGAAGCAGCAAGAGATAAGGGGACAGTCACCTACAAAGGAGTTCCCATCAGACTGTCAGCTGATTTCTCACAAGAGACCTTACAGGCAAGAAGGGGCTGGAAAGAAGTATTCCAAGTCATGAAATCAAAAGACCTACATCCAAGGCCAGCAAAGCTTTCATTTAGAATGGAAGGGCAGATAAAGTGCTTCTCAGATAAGATCAAATTCAAGGAGTTCATCATCACCAATTCCTTATTATATGAAATGTTAAAGGGACTTACCCAAGAAAAAAGATAAAAATTATGAACAGTGAAAGAACAGCAAACTCACAGTTACTAACAACCACACCTAAAACAAAAGCAATCTAAGCGGATAGCTAAAACAGGAGCAGAGCCACAGAAATGGAGATCACATGGCAGGTTAGCAACAGGGGAGTGGGAGGAGGAGAGGTGGGGAGAAGGTACAGAGAATAAGTAGCATAGACAGTGGGGAGAAAATAGGGGGAGGGCAAGAGTAGTGCAGGAAATGTGGTAGCTAAAGAACTTATGACACAGGGACATGAACTAAAGGGGGAATGTGAGGGGAGGGAGTGGGCAGGGTTGAGGGGAATGAAGGAGGGGAGTGAAAACTAATAGCGTAATCAATAAAATATATTAAAAAATAAGAAAGGGGGCAGCAGTAATGGAGGAGTTTGGGTACATAGGAGAGTAGGGAATATGAAGATGAGCAGGCAGGAAAAGGAATAGGAAGGAACTATAATTGAGATATGAGTGGGGGAATGAGAATTTAAATAATAAAAATATAATTATGACTATAAAAAAGAAAAGCAGTCCTTCTCTTCAAGGCCTCAGGTTCTCTCTTGCAGAACTGTCTTGTGCAACCACTTCCTGAGGTTTGGGGGTTACCCAAACTGAATTGCTCAGTGGCTTTCTCTGCCGCTTGCTTGGCCTTCAGCTAGCTTTCTTCAGTCTGCTAAGTAGCACTCATCCTGCTTCTTAGTTTTCCAAATTTGTGGACCTTGTTTTTGCTATCAATCTTATTCTCTTTGTAGGTTCATGCCATTAAAAAAGAAACCTTTATTGTCTTTTTATTGGAATTCTGAGAGGGAACAGAATTAAATATCTGTTTTTAATTCACTGTCTTTAATCAAAAGTTCTAGCTGTTGAAGTTCAGCATGAGGAATTGCACTTAAGAACACGGAGCAGTGAGTCGTTTTATGAATAATAATGCTGAATATTATTGTAAAAGATTGTCCTTGCTTAATAAATTTGGGACTATAATACATTAAGAGATACTTATATTTGGTAAAAAATAATATTCTTGGTCAGTTTTCTAGTGGGAATTTTTCATGACACTGTAAGTCTTTAGGAACAATATTTTCTATTTTTAATTTCTGTGCATCCATTTAAAACAAGTTTTATGCATTTAATTTTCTACTTTATTTGTATTGTTATAACAAGGATAAAAGGATGTCATAGACAACCTAACGTTCAAACCATAGGCTTAGAAACAATTGAGCTTTGATTTTTCCACTGAGGAGGAATATTCTACCTAGGGAAGGCAATCCATTCGATGATGATGCACACCTTTTCAAATGTAAGTGTTGTATAGAAAATAAGGCAGATAACTTTACCCTGGGAAGAAGGAAGACACAATGAAAATGTGCGGTTTTGATTATTGGCACAGCATTTTTCAAAAGTTATATTATCCTTGTGGAATAAGGATTTACTTGATGTAATATCTGATATATTTTTATTTACTTTCATTTAGAGAGATGCATTTATTTACATGGAACCAGAGAAACAAGTCATGTCCAGGTCATCAGATGAATGCGTTGTGGCCCTGTGTGACCAGTGGTTAGTCTCTCCTATAGCAAGAAGAAATTTCCCACAGTCGCTCTCCTTATCCTTTTGGGTTTTATTTTTTTCTAATCAATTTGTGTACTCCCAGGTACTTGGATTATGGAGAAGAGAACTGGAAAAAGCAGACATCCCAGTGCTTGAAGAACCTGGAAACGTAAGATGGGAGAAAGTGTTGAGGGGGAGGGGAAAGGAGATGCGAAACACGGAAGATAGTCAAGGTGAAGAGAGAGACCATCTTTTATTCTCTTCAGATTCTGTGAGGAGACCAGGAGGAATTTTGAAGCTACCTTAGGTTGGCTCCAAGAGCATGCTTGCTCAAGAACTTATGGTTTAGGTAAGCAAACTTCATATTTCTCTGTTTGAATGACTGGAAAAATAATGCTTTTATGCAATTTTCTTTCTTTTTTTCTGACTTGGAAGCGAGAGCTCCCAGTTAGAGGGTAAGGGGAATGAAGCTTTTGTTCTCTACGATCTGTCTGGTGATAGAAGAATGCTTTCTCTCATCCACTTTGCTCTTTGTTTGCCATTTTATTTTTATTATTTAAGTAAATTTAAGAAATTCCTCTATAAGCAGCTTCATAAATGCAGTAGATCTTAAAATGTAGAGTTATAGATGAAGTGTCTCTTGGGTCCCTTGTGCATTAATTTTCTTCTTTTTATCTTGTAGGCACACATTTGCCTTGGGATGAACAGTGGCTGATTGAATCACTCTCTGATTCTACTATTTACATGGCATTTTACACTGTGGCCCACCTATTGCAGGGGGGGGACTTGCGTGGACAGGCAGAGTCTCCACTGGGCATCAGGTTGGTAAATGGAGAAGGGAAAGAAGTCTAGTTTGTTAGCAAGATATGTGATCTTTTGATTTATGTATTAAATGTTTTCTTTTAATATTTAGTTTTCATAAGAATTAATTTACCCATGGACATGAACTAAGGTGAGGAAATGAGGGTAGGTGGGGGGGTGGAGGACAGGGTGGAGGGGAATAATGGGAGAAAAAAAATGGGACAACTGTAATAGCATAATCAATAAAATATATTTTAAAAGAATTCATTTAGCAGAATTTTGTTATGCTTTTTTAAAAAATTGAACTGAGAAAAAGTAATAATAGTTCCTCCTCTGTTATTATTATTCATCCTTCATTTTTATGGGAGTCCATTGTCCTCATTTGTTACTCTAACTACATTAAGAGATTCCTACTTCATGTTTGGATTGAAATAATGATTCTAAAAAATTATATATTTATTTATAATACATAATTATAAATAGTTGTTGTTGTTTTTGTTTGTTTTATTCTAATACAGACCGCAGGAAATGACCAAGGAAGTTTGGGATTATATTTTCTTTAAGGAGTCTCCATTTCCTAAGACTCAGATCCCAAAGGAAAAATTAGATCAGTTAAAGCAAGAGTTTGAGTTCTGGTATCCTGTGGATCTTCGAGTCTCTGGAAAGGATCTTGTTCCTAATCATCTTTCATATTACCTGTATAATCATGTGGCTATGTGGCCAGAAGAAAGGTGAGTGTTGAAAAAGATGTGGACTAAACTTGTTGCTTATTGACATGGGCATCTTATGGCTTCAAATATATAAGAAGCTATTGTGTAGGGTATAGGTTTGCCAATTATACCAGCATCAGATACCTGTGCTTATTTGCCTATTTATGTTTTAACTTATACAAAGATGCAGTGTTTTAGATACTATTTCTCTCATGTTTTTCCATGTACATGTTTATTTCTAAGATCTTTTCAAATCCATATATAGCCCTGCCTGTGTTTTTTTAATACTTAACAGTAATTCACTATATGCCTGTACCATAGTTTTTATAATCCGTCCTTTGCTAATGGACATTTTTATTGTTTTTATTTGTTTTCTGTTACATACAGGGCCTAGTAAATATCCTTGTACATTTGTCTGAGCAAACTGTTATGAATGTTTTAGCATTTATCTCAAAATGTTAAGCCTTAACCACAGTCTTTAAGTTTCATTTTTCTGTCTTTAAACATTTACCTGTAAAGTGACAAATGGCCTGTAGCTGTGCGAGCAAATGGACATCTTCTCCTCAACTCTGAGAAGGTAAGGCTTGTTGCCTCCTGAAAGTTAAAATTTCTGCAGAAAGCTTTTTCAGATTTAGGAAGTTACACTTTTTAAATTGAAGAATGAAAGAATATGAAAATCATACATTAAAGTTTTATCTTTAAAATTATATGTGTAGGCTAGATAGCAGAGGGACCTACCTATTAGTTGTACCATTACCTATTACAACAGTATATTTAGATTCACAGAAGGTGACATGAATTATGAGTGGAGCAGAGAGAGAGACAGAAATAGAGACAGAGACAGTAAAGGTAAAGAGTATCTTTCTCAATAACTTGAGAAAAGAGTTTGGTGGTTTTTGTTTTTTGTTTTATACCGTGACTGTCCACCAAATTAGAATAATAGGATTTTGGCCCTGGTTGGTGTAGCTCAGTGGATTGAGCAAAGGCCTGTGAAACAAAGGCTGCTGGTTTGATTCGCAGTCAGGGCACATGCCTGGGTTGCAGGCCAGGTCCCCAGTAGGGGACACATGAGAGGCAAACACATACTAATGTTTCTCTCCCACTCTTTCTCCTTCCATTCCCCTCTCTCTAAAAATAAAAAATTAAAACAATAAAAAAAGAATAATAGGATTTTGGAGTTTGTTATAGCATGACATTGTCTCTGGTGTCAACATTGTTGCATTATACACTGTTTTGGTTTTATTGGTAGAAGTTACTTTATTTCTGTGTAGTGGGAAATTGATGTAATAATCACCTTTCTTTGGTATCAGTAAAGTTAATGATAAAGACATAAAAACATTTAAAATAATAAAGATTGCTAGATTGTGCACAGTAAGTACCTTTTCAGACATGCTGCCCTCAGGCACGGCACCATTTGAACAGCCCATTAATTGTGACCCTAATACAGGAAGTTCCCTAAAACCCTAACTCTGATGTCATGGTCCAGCCCATTTATTTCTTTTTTTTAAATATATTTGATTAATTATGCCATTACAGTTGTTCTATTTCCCCCTTCATTCCCCTCTACCCTGTACACCCACTCCCCCACCAATCCCCTCCCTTTAGTTTATGACCACGTGTCTCAGGTTCTTTAGATTCTATATTTCCCATACTATTCTTGCCCTCCCCCTATCTATTTTCTACTTACCCTCTATGCTACTTATTTTTTGTACCTTCTCCCCCCTTCTCCTCCTCCCACTCCCCTGTTGCTAACCCTCCATGTGATCTTCATTTCTATGGTTCTGCTCCTGATCTAGCTGACTTCTTAGTTTGCATTTGTTTTAGGTGTGGTTCTTAATAACTGAGTTTGCTGTCTTTTCACTGTTCATCTTTTTTATCTTCTTTTTTTGGTAAGTCTCTTTAACATTTCATATAATAAGGAATTGGTGATGATGAACTCCTTGAATTTGATCTTATCTGAGAAGCACTTTATCTGCCCTTCCATTCTAAATGAAAGCTTTGCTGGATAGAGCAGTCTTGGATGTAGGTCTTTTGATTTCATGACTTGGAATACTTCTTTCCAGCCCCTTCTTGCCTGTAAGGTCTCTTGTGAGAAATCAGCTGACAGTCTGATGGGAACTCCTTTGTAGGTGATTGTCCCCTTATCTCTTGCTGCTTCTAGGATTCTCTCCTTCATTTTAATCTTGGCTAATATAATTATGGTATGCCTTGGTGTGTTCCTCCCTGGGTCCAACTTCTTTGGGACTCTCTGAGCTTCCTGGATGTCCTGGAAATCTATTTCCTTTGCCAGATTGGGAAATTCTCCTTTATTATTTGTTTAAATAAGTTTTCCACTTGTGGCTGTTCCTCTTCCCCTTCTGGTACCCCTAAAATTTGGATGTTGGAACGTTTAAAGATGTCCTGGAGGTTCCTAAGCCTCTCCTCACTTTTTTGAATTCTTGTTTCTTCATTCTTTTCTGTTTTGTCATTTTTTTCCTCCTTCTGGTCCACTTCTTTGATTTGAGTCTCAGTTTCCTTTCCATTACTACTGGTTTTCTGTGTATTTCCATTCATTTCACTTAGTTTAGCCTTCATATGTTCCTCTAATTTGTTACTAAAATCAACCAGTTCTGTGAGCATCCTGATCACCAGTGTTTTGAACTGTGCATCTGAAAGTTTGGCTATTTCTTCATCGCTTAGATTTATCAGCTCTGGGGCTCTGAGTTGCTCTTGAGCCATGTTTTGATCTGTTCATGCCTGTTATGTGTGAGGAGCAGAGCCTTAGTTGTTCACCAGGGTGGGGCCACCCAGGTCGGTGGTTTGTGGTGCTGTATGTGGGGGCGGGTCAGAGAGGGACAATGGCGGTTCCCTCTGCCGCTTCTTGCCGCTGGGGCCTGCGTGGTTCGTCTCACTGCTCGCTCCTTCACCGGTTTATCTGCGAGCAAACGTGTGACTGCGATCAGCCCTCAGTGGTTCCCCCTGCTTCTCCACACCTGGGATCCACCCATGGCTGCTGGCGCACCTGGGTCATGCGCCCGGGTCGGTTGGGTAGAACTTTCTAGCCCAACTCTGCTCTGCTGCTGGCTCTGCCCATTATCGGTTTGGCCGAAGTGTTCGTTGTTGTTGGACTTCCGTGTAGTTCCATTTTCTGTGGTTTGGCAGTGTTTTTGTTGCTAAAACTTTGTTGTTTTAAAACTTAGTTGTGTGAGAAGGCGCAGTGGTTCCATCTACACCTCCATCTTGGCGGAAGTCCCAGCCCATTTAGTTCTGAGTGACTAATTAATATAAAGCTCTTCTCTGTGATCAGCCAAGGTATTCCAGAGTTCTAGTGGAATAATTCTACGTGAATAAACTAATAGTATAGTCTAATGGAAAGCGCAGTGGGCTGAGTGTCAGACTGGAGGTCCTAGCCTAGCTCCCACTTGCTTGCTGAATGACCCGTGTAAGTCACTACTGACCGGACTTCAGCTTTCACCTCTGTAAATTAGTTTAGGGTATCTCTTTTTTTTTTCACATTTCTAATCTTTTTTGTCTTTCTCTGACTATGGCCAACACATTTAACTTGATGGGGTAGATTGGGTTTGTTTCATTTATGTATAGACTTAGTAATGCCTACTCATTGGCTTTCTGTTCCAGATGTCAAAATCTACGGGCAACTTTCTCTCTTTGACCCAAGCCATTGACAAATTTTCAGCTGATGGTGAGTATACTTTTTAAATTATTGATTTGCATAGAGTTCGATTCTCAGATTATACAAGGCAATTTAAAAATTTTTTAATGTTACTGCTTTTCTCTTTTGCTTATACCAAAAGCATTCATGTTTTCTTTGTGTAGAAACACCATAGTAATTAAAACATAAAATTGCTGAGACACAACAATATTGAAATTAGGCCCATTGGTAACCTTCCCATGGCCTCTTAAGTGTTCAAGTGAAAGAACAGTCACATGTCTCTCACTTTAAAGCAAAGGTAGAAATGATTAAGTTTAGTTAGGAAAGCACGTTGAAAGCCTCGACAGACTGAGAGCTAGGCTGCTTTCAGCAGTTAGCCAAATTGTGAATGCAAAGGGAAAGTTATTGAAGGAAATTAAAAGTACTACTTTAGTGAACACAGGAATAATAAGAAAGCAAAATAGTCTTATTGCCAATATGAAAGTGTTAATGGTCTGAGTAGAAGCTTAAACCAGCCACAACATTCCTTTAAGCTAAAGCCTAATCCAGAGCAAGGCCCTGGATAACTAACTCTTTTTAGCTCTTGCAGCTCATGAGAGAGCTGAGGAAGCTGCAGAAGAAAAATTTGAGGTTGCTTCATGAGGCCAAAGGAAAGATGTCTCCATAACATAGCACTGCTTTTAGCAGCAATGTAATGTTCCACTGCAAGGACGTCCTGCCATTTATTTTGTCAGGCTCCTATTGATAGCTTTTTCCCAATGTTTTAGAATAAAAGATTTTGATTGAAAAGTAAAAATTTGTTAGTAGAGAACTTGGAAGGATCTACTCTAAGGACTAAGAATTAAATTCATATTTAAACGCATAAAGCACCAGTGTGTGTGTTGTCATGCACTAAAGTATCATGTTTTGCCAACTCTAAATGAGGCTGAGATGTTGATAGGGATAGCTGTCCCCAGTTTATTATTTGTTTGCTTTGCTTCATTGAAGATCGCTTTATCTCATTAACTCAACAAGCCTGAGAAGAAACACATATTGATGCTAAATATATGCAAATTAATGCAGATGGTTTAGGGATTTTACTTTTATCTGCATCATTAGGGATTCTACTTTTGGTGATTTTTATTTTTGCTATTGATCCATGGCAGCCCTTTAAAGCACTGGTCCTTCCTTAATTTATATGTAGGCTTTACAGTGCACCCACCTGGACACATAGTTGATCTTCAGTAAGCAAGTTTTAAAGTTATTGATTGCTTTCATTTCTTCTCCAGGAATGCGCTTGGCTCTCGCTGATGCTGGTGATACTGTTGAAGATGCTAACTTTGTGGAAGCCATGGCAGATGCAGGTATTCTCCGTCTGTACACCTGGGTGGAGTGGGTGAAAGAAATGGTGACCAACCGGGATAGCCTAAGAAGTGGTCCTGATAGCACCTTCAACGATCGAGTTTTTGCCAGGTAATTCGTGGACTCCAGTCACTTTGTGCCTTAGAGTTGCTTAGTCCTCGTGCATTTTTAAGTTTCCTTCCTCCTCCCCCTAAAGTAAATTAGATAATTATAGTAGCTACTATTTATTGAAAGCTTATTTGTGCCAGGTACAAAACTAATTACCTTCAATCCATTATCTGATCTTAGCCTCTTAGCAACCTTATATAATAAAGATATTTTAGCTGTATTTTACAGTTAAAGAAATTGAGGCTTAGAAAAATTGTTTCATTAAACTCCTTAAAGCTAGTAACTTCAGACTTGGCTTATGAATTTACTTCAGTCTTTCTCCAGTGCCTATTCTCATAACCATTTTGCCATGCTCTCTTGCCTTAAAGTAGGATAGAAGGGTTCAAGGAAAAATAGATGAAAAGAAATGGAGAATTATCATTTTCTTTTCCCTTCAAAAGACATTTGTCAGCCTCTGTGAATCAGAAACAGTCCTATGCACTTGTCTACAAAGATCTGTAAGACTCAGTCCTTCCTTGTTTCACAGGAGAGAGAGACACAAAAACACTTATCCCGCCATTTACATGTAATAAAGATTGAGGGGATTTAGATGGTATGTGAGTTCTGTGTTTCTTGAAAAGTAAACAGTTTTTGCAAAGATGGGAGAACTCTGGAAAGAGTGTGGTATTTATTTGAAGTATTGTGTGTGGAGGGCAGAAGCGGGAGGTGAAACAAGTTTGGGGCCAGATTAGGCCAGGTTAAGAAAGGTCTGTGGTACCCTGGGAAAATTTTTCCTAAATATTCACTGTCAGTTGATTAAAAGGCAGCAGTTAAACCTGACTACAACTGTTGGTAAGCTATTTTTATATTGCATTTTGGGCTTCATAATGAAACTTCCATCAAAGACTTTTTAAATAGGAACAGGGTTAACAGTGTTGTCGTAAGCAGGGGCTCTAAGCAAGTATCACATGACAGACAGTATGTACTTAAAGGTGGATACATAAGCCCTGGTTGTTGTGGCTCAGTTGGTTGGAACATCATCCTATAAACTGAAAGGTCACAGGTTTGATTCTTGCTCGGGGCAAATGCCTAGGTGCAAGTTCAGTCGGGGCGCATGCGAGAGGCAACCAGTCAGTGTTTCTCTCTTACATCAGTGTTTCTCTCTCTCTCTCTCTCTCTCAAATCAATAAGCATATTTTTGGGTGAGGATAAAAAACGTGGATACATAGATAATAGGGTAGTGGCAGTAGGCAGTTTTAAGGAACACAAGGATGGTTTTGTGGTGGATGATTTAAAATCTTTCAGGCATTATTCTCATTTTACTGTTTCTGAGTATATACAGCAGGTTTTCATAGTTATCTATACTTGCCTTTCCACTCAATAACCTTTTTTTCCTATTCAATAGTGAAATGAATGCAGGAATTATAAAAACAGATCAAAACTATGAAAAGATGATGTTTAAAGAAGCTTTGAAAACAGGGTTTTTTGAGTTGCAGGTAGGCTATTAATTTTTTTAAGTAGCTGTAAAATATGTCAATGTGAATATGATGTATTTTTGCCCTTTTTCCTTCCTGCTATAACATAACTTATCTAAAGTGGAGATTGGAAATTTTGTTAAGAAACTTAAATCTTCAATAAATTGTGGTTGTAAATAGTTTCCTTTGGTACTTTTTCTACTGTGTTCATTTAACAGAAATAATTCTATTGTTTCTAGTTGTGCTATGAGCATTAATAAAGAGATGAAATCTAAAAATCAGTAATACTTTCCAGAAAAATTATTTTTAAGTTGAGAAAAAAATAAAGGCAGAAGTAAAGGCATAATTGTAACTAATTGTTTTTAGTTTGGAAACAAATGTTTTCTGAGGATTTCCACAAGGTGTCAGTATTTCCTCACGTTTGGCAAAAGTACTTAAAGTAAAAATATAGCTCTACTCGATCGCTTTTGTGAAATAAATATCACATTGGGATTTATGAAATTTGGTTTTCATAGATGTGGTTGAATAAAGGTGAGTGCTGAGCAAAGCGGTGTGTCGTATGTCTAGCCTTTTTTTTTGATACTTAAGTATCTTTTCTATCTATATGCTGCTCGGAGCATTGTTTTTAATATAGTTTAAATTGTTCCGCTTTTATGACTGTTACAAAATGTCTTTTAAAAACCTTTTTCTCAAGACTCAAAAGTATAGTATCCTTTGGGCAAGGATTGATACACATTTACTTGCAAATTGTTGAAGTAATACCTTCACAAAAATTCATTGTGGAATTTTAAAAGACTAAAAACTTAAAAATGCATTAAAAGAGAGATACTAAATTCAGCCTTTTTCCTCTTTACTTTTATTTCAAAGAAGTATAGGGAGAGAAATGGTAAATTATTTCAAATTTTGTAGGCTGCAAAAGACAAGTACCGTGAGTTGGCCATCGAGGGGATGCACAGAGATCTTGTGTTCCAATTTATTGAAGTTCAGACCCTGCTCTTGGCTCCATTCTGTCCACATGTGTGTGAGCACATCTGGGCACTCCTGGGAAAGGTATCTATATACATTTAAGATATTGTGGTAGTTTTGGTCCTTGTCTCATTAAGTAAATGTGGTAATGTTGTTGCATAAGAAGAAAAGGCTGAATATGAGTATTTTAAGAATAATGTTGGATTCATCATTGTAATTATGCAATAGGTTAAACTGCCTCTTTTATAGACAGATGCATCATGTGTGTGCTTTATTTATGTATTCGCAGTGTAAATATTTTTAAAAACGTTGACTATATGCATGTTGTTTATTACTTAATTCCTGTTAGGAAGTGTTATAATACATTTAAATATATTCAGATATATGTTGGAATACATGTATAACTAATATTCTTTTTCCAGCTGTTTGTCAAAGAGGTGAAAATGTTGAGAAAGTTATAAATGTTACGAACTACTTATAAGCAAAGACAGAAGTGTATATTTGCAGAAATATTCTTGTTTTATGTAAAATTCTTGGCACATATAGGGCCGCATATTCAGGGATATTATATTAGCATTTTTACTGCAAAGATAAATTCAATTATTTTTCCCTGGCTCACAGATAAACAGATTGGCTGGTTTGATAACTCCCTTCCAACCTTATTAACCAGGTTCTTTTGCATGTTATTCACTACATGAATAATAAAAAAAATGCACTCATGGTGTATATACCAAAGAGCCATACTTTTAGTACTGGATGTGTTAATAGGATAAAAACTGAGAGTGTGCGTAATTTATATAATAATGATTAAATTTAGGCACATTAACATTACATAATTTTCTTTGAAAGTGAGCATATGTGTGTGGGTATTAATATGCGTGTACAAGTGGATGCTAATTAAGAATGTAGAGTCAGACTTCACAGCTTGAATTCTAGGGAACATTAGATTGGGGCTGTGGAAGTGGGCCATGTGGGGCCAAGGTCTGAACTTTGAACACCCAATTACAGATTGTAGCCTTGGTGTGCAGTTGTAATCAAGAATCATAAAATAGCTGTATTTCTAATGTCCCTGAACCTTTTTGTTTTGCTTTTATTTAAAAGCCCAGCTCAATTATGTATGCTTCATGGCCCATTGTTGGTCCTGTGGATGAAACCTTGATACGGTCCTCACAGTATCTCATGGAGGTGGCACATGACCTTAGACTGCGACTGAAGAGTTATATGATGCCAGCTAAAGGGAAGGTGAAGTCATTTTTTTAACAAGGTCATTCCTGAAAAGTTATTGGTCAAACACTATTTAACAATAATGGATATGAAGGTACTTTCTTTAAAATATGTAGGGCTGTCTGTCCTCATTGCCAGTGCAATTCTGTACTTTGCATGTTTTTTAGTGTTAAAGGTAGTAGTGGTATCTACTGGGGGAGGGTTCTTTTTGTTTTTCGTTTATATTAAAGTGACTTACTGTTTTTGCCTTTCTCTACCCTGTAGAAGACTGACACACAACAGCCCCAGAAGCCTTCGCATTGTACCATCTATGTGGCAAAGAACTATCCGTCTTGGCAACATACCACGCTGTCAGTTCTGCACAGTCACTTTCAGGTAATGTGTTCAGCAGACTTTCTCCAGCATTGCTGTGTCCTGCTTATGCTGGGTTTTTTGTGGGGGATGTTGGCAATGTCTGGGAGAAGGAAGACTGGCAGCTTTGTTTAATTACCTCTAGGCATAGAGTGTCCTTTGTTGTCCTTGGTGGCACTTAAATGAATGTCAAGGGAAAAGATGCTGATTTTCATCATTTTTGAAACTTTTCATACATGAATACACTGAATGTAATTGTATGTAATTAAAGTCTGTGGGACTTTTACACATGTGCGTGGTTAAAATTATGAAGCAAAAACACTGAGATTCGTGTAGCCTTAACTTGATTATATTTGAAAAACTTGAAGTGTGGCTCTTGAGTAATTTAACAAGAAAATGTTCAGTTTAATAATTACCTATGTAAATGGAGAGCTTGATGTTTTTGGCTCTGTCAGGTAAATAGCTATTAAATATGGTAGTTACATTGAAAGGAATCTCAGTATTTACACTTAGTCCTTTAAACTTAGATGCAAACCATGAAGGGGCACTCAGAGAGAGAGAAAGAGAAAGAAAGAATAGAGATTATGGCCAAAGCATAAAGTGATAACCTAAAGAAAAAATCCTTAGCTTTGATTTTACAGATCTTTATTAGAATTTTGCCTCAATAATTTTATAGTTAATTAAGAAATACTCAGAAAAATTAAAAATTGCAAAATTTGATGGAAAGAGAATGGCAAGTGTGTTTTTATTCTTTGTGAACCTGTTTTTATGGAGAACTATACTTTGTTGTTTGATTGTGTGTAGTGGAAATAGAGCCTTTATGATCTGCTTGCAGATTTTGGCTTATGGTAAAAGAGTAAAAGCTGCATTCAGAAGTAGCAAAGTGAAAAGTGGGACTGTGCCTCAGTGAGTTGCATATTCATACCAGCATTTTCAAGGAAACAGTAGAATTAAATATGGTATGTAATGTCCCATGTATTAAAAAGAAATGCATCACCATAGTTCTTTTATAATATTTAAATTGTAAATATAATTTATAATATAAATAATATTTAAAGAATATTTAATTCTTTTATAATATTTATTATTTATTTTGAGATAGAGGGGAAAGGACGGGAAAAAAGGGAGAAAAACATTGACATGGGAGAGAACATCTGTTGGTTTCATCTTGTAAGTGCCCGAGTGGGGGACCAAACCCACAATCCAGCTGTGTGCCCTGGCCAGAAATCAAACCGGCAGTCATTTGCTTTGTGGGATGACAAACCAACCAACCAAGCCACACCTGTCAGGGCACCACTGCTCTTTTAGAGGTTTTATTTTTGCATAGTATTCATTGATTAGTTATTACATAGTTTCAAAATGACACCATCTTTTGGCATTATTTGGAATGATTAGCTTCCTTTAAAATTTTTGTTTTTATCCAAAAGGAGCAAAAGAATATTAGTTTGCAATCAAGAAGAATGTTCTTATGTTGAATATGGCACCTTTTTAGTGACATAAGGAAAAGGAGTGTTTCCTACCTTCTCCTTTTCTCTTTCATCTCTCTTTAAAGGCAGTGCACTGACAAATAGAGAAAAAAAATTTTGCCATGTACCTTGCTTAGTAAAGGTTAGAATTGAAAGTAAATGGGTTATCAGAAATATTACTATATGCTACTTTTCATTTTGATTCATTCCCAATGCTTGGCTTTGATACTGTGCTTCTCCAACCAGGAGAAAATGAGTCACCTAAAACTCGGGAAAGGCCGCTTGATTTCTCACTGTGTCAAAGGGGACAGTTGATGTTTGCAGAAATGAGTTTAAATTCAGGCAGCACATTTGGGACTTTGCATATTATGGTAGACAGTGCAGGCACTTGGTTTTGAGTAGATGGAAATAATACTGTTTTTAACAGAATCATAGCTAGGGACTCTTGTTCATGTTTGTGGTAACAGTTTATAAAAAGTGTTCAAAAGCAGATCAATAAAACTGTATGATAGTTATGTGTAGTTTTTTATTTTGCTATAACTAAGGAAATACTTCTAAAAGTTTATAAGACTATTTTTTTCTCACAAGGTAAGACCTAATGGTATAATCCTGGAGGTGCCATTATTATAAGAAAAAAGTTACGATTCAGCATGGTGCATCTAATTCCTTCCTTACCCTCAAAATCACACAGTCTCTGCATTTAGAGGAAATAGGAGACTCCTTTCAGTATTATTTACTCATCTTTCCCTTCCTCGTGGTTCTAGGGCTGCATCCTCTTCCGCTGTCCTCTGGCAGACTGGTAGAGGCTTTACTCGGTGTCTGTATGATTTCCTACAGGCACATCAATTCTGCATCTTCTTTAAAATACTTTTCTCTCCAACTTTTTTTTTTTTAGAACAATGGTGGAAAATTGCCTGATAACAAAATCATTGCTAGTGAACTAGGCAGTTTGCCAGAATTGAAGAAATACATGAAGAAGGTGATGCCGTTTGTTGCCATGATGAAGGTGAGCTGTGGACCTTTTGCAGCTGTGGCCACGTGAATAATGGTTCAATTGGACAGTACAAGGAAGGGGGAAGTTACCCCCAAGAAATCTGCTGAAATAGCACTTTTAAATCAGTGGTTTGGGAAACGTACAACCAGATTTTGGGTTTACCTGTGGAATTGCTGAGTATGTAAAAATAGGTCTTGCAGAAGAAAAACTGGTTTAGAATTATTGCAATAAATTATTCTCTTCATGTTCTACCTTCTCTTTTCGTTTGGGGAGGAAGCATATTCTTTTTGGTTTACATTAGGGTATTTATAGTAGATCCTATTACTGGCATCAAGATCCAACATTTGTATAAGTTTAGCATTAACAGGATAAATGTTGTTTATTATGGTGAGACCATGTTTCTCAGTGATGGTTCTATTGGTTTTTTTGGGCCAGATAGTTCTTTGTTGTGGGGGGATGACCTGTACACTGTAGGGCAGGGGTGTCCAGCCTTTTGGCATCTTTGGGCCACACTGGAAGAAGAAGAGTTGTGTTGGGCCACACATTAAATACACAAATGCGAATAAAAACTGATGAGCAAATAGAAGGTCCATGCATAATTTTTGTGATATCAGCCACCTTAGACAAGCAAAAAAGTCCTCACATAATAACCCTAATTATGCAGTGGCCCTTTCAGTAATCTTTTACCAAGTTTGTGATCACTGATATAAAAAATATACATATGTAGGTAATAAAACTTAGTAATAAAACTAAATAATGTCTTAAGTCAATGTATGATTCTGTGTTGAGTCACATTCATAACCATCCTGGGCCACATACAGCCCGGGGGCCACTGGTTGTTCACCCCCATGTAGGCTTTAGCAGTATCCTTGGCATCTACCCACTAGATGCCAGTGGAACCTCCTTCACCCCCCTCAACTGTGACAAGCAAAAATGTCTTCAGACATTGCTAAATGTCTACTACAGGCAAATTCAGCACCCCCCTGGAACTCTCCTATGAAGAATCATTGAGTTAGATTCTTAGTTTTTTTCTTGTCCATAGTTGATCTATTGGATTTCTTCAGAAAAAGAAATAAAAGAAGGCTGTCGTTTGCTTAAGATCTTAGGCTCTGAGGTCAGGCAAATCTTGGTCTAAATCCTGTTTGCCTGTTACTTCTTAGTTATGAGGCCTTAAGAGAAATCACTAAAATTCTTTCAGCCACATGGCTTTTTATCTGTAACATGAGGAAATTAATAGAACTTATCTTTTAAGAGTCAATGAAATAATACAGTTTTAACACACTTAAATATTACCTGTCAAGAAGTAAACTTAGTAAATTTTTTTCAAATGTAAGTTGGTGCCCTCCAGCCTGCTGGGCACATAGTGGTTATTCTTGTACTTTAGATTAATTCTTGAATCTTCTAGGCTACAGATACCTGCCTGATGGAGACCCAGACTCTTGCTTCTCTTATATTGGAGTAGATTCTTTGGAAAGCCTTTTAATCTCCTAGACAGAGTTAACTGTCTGAACCTTATGGTATTTCAAGTTTGAGAAATAATTTAGGATTCTGGGTTGACCAATCCTAATCAAGTTATAAAATGTCTGCTGGCATGTTCCTAAGTCATTGTTCCCATTGGTCAGAGTGCCACATCCATTGTCAATATATGGATTCAACAAAATACTCCATTGCTGGTTGCAAAGACAATAAATGTTGGTGACATGCCTTAACTGAATTCAGAGAAACTGATTTGAAAGTTAGTTATATAGTTTTAGATTGAAGAATTGGCTTTTTGAAAAACCAGTGTTAGGCTATTTAAGTGGTAATATATTTTTTCACTAATATTGGTGATTTGCCAGGCATATTAGTGGTGTTGAAAAGTGTTTAATAACTCTGGTAATAAGAAAATGGGTTTTTAGCATGTTTGTTCCCCACTGGAAAAGAAACAGATTTGGATGGTAAATGAAGACAATAAATATTAGGAATCATGTCGGGTCATTTTCACGTAAGTGCAAACTATTCTAGGCAGTTAGCTATATTTGTGCATGAACTTGGCTCTCCAAAATTATATTTTCAGTTGGCAAATATTTTATTACATGTTCAAGAAAATAAAACAAATTGTTTTGTATTTGCAAGAGGATTCAAGTAGCATGACTTTTTAAATTTTATTTTGAAATTTGTAGGAGTATATTAGGGAATTTACTAGTAATTTATATTCTCTGAAGTAGCTTTAAAGATTTGGTGGAAGATTTATTATTATTTTGGTTACCTGAAGGGATATCTTCACACATTTGTTTGATTCCTTGTCTAAGCAAGTTCTTTGGGTTTGCATATTAAATCAATCTAAATAAACAATGATAAAATCATATTTATTTTATGAATCTGAAAACCATGTCTTTCCAGTCTTTTCATCGCTGCCATAATCTTATCATATTTTAAATGATAATTACTCTGAGCTAGTAATTTCATTAACAAGCAGACATAGATAAGGGAAACCATGAGTCCAAGGCCTGTCCTTTAACTGTTCAAATTTGAAGATTTTATCAATTGAGAGAAGAATGATTGCTTTGGAGGAAATATATTCTTTTCAACATATTCTTAATGTGATTTTGTTTTTCAAAACCATTTTGGCTGGTAGGAAAATCTGGAGAAGGTGGGACCCCGTGTTCTGGATTTGCAGTTAGAGTTTGATGAACAGACAGTGCTTATGGAGAATATAGTCTACCTGACCAATTCCCTTGAGGTAAGAGGGGCTAGGAATTGTAATAACTAGTTAACCATAGTAAATATAGTCCAGTTTTATAATGAACATTTTATAAACTTTATCTTCTATGTTTAGTAACTTTGCCAAATATATCAGTCAAAATTTTTTTGGAGGGAAAGAGAATGGGTGTATATAGAAGTTGCAGGAAGAAAAAATGATCTGTTGCCTTATTTCACTTACCAATTCTATGCATAAAATAATAACTATATATATTTGGATATTCACCTCCACAGTTATTTTTTAAAAAATGAGAGACCTCATGTACAAATACTTTCAAAATCTCTCATGTTATGGGGTACTCTGAATTGCTTCTTCTCCCTTCCCCTGCCTCTTCCTTTTAGGTCTTAGATTCACAGAATTGGATTAATTAGAATCCTTGATTCATGATAAATTATTATTGGTCCATGTCTGGTCATGTTTTTAAATTTTAATTTATTAAAAATTTTTATTCTGGAATGTGACGCTCTTTTTAATTAAAAGTATAGTTGACATAAATATATTAGTTCCAGGTGTATGACATAATTATTTGACATTTATATACAGTATGAAGTGATCACCATGAGAAATCTAGTAACCATCTGCCACCATACAAAATTATTCTGATATTATCAACCATATTTCCTATGTGTATATTACATTCTGTTTTTTTAAAAAATAATTATATAATGAACATCCGTGAATCTACTACCAACTCAAACTAGAACATTACTAAGAGCTTTCACACATTCTCACTCTCCCACCATCTGGTCCCCGTCACAGCTTCATATATCGATTCTAAAAATGCCTGTCTCTCAGGCAACTAAGGCAGAAGGAAAGACAATTTGCTCTAGAAAAACTGTTAGAAGACAAAGTGGTTCTAGTGATAATGAAGACAACTGAAATGAAAAAAAAGTGAAGGTTTAAAATTTGAATAAAATTGTTTCATATTAGAATGGAAGATAGTTGTTTCTATTTTTTTAAAGATTTTATTTATTTTTATACAGAGGGGAAGGGAAGGAGGAAGAGAGGAAAACACCAATGTGTGGTTGCTTCTTATACACCCCCTACTGGGGACCTGGCCTACAACCCAGGCATGTGTCCTGACTGGGAATCGAACCAACAACCCTTTGGTTTGCAGGCTGGTGCTCAATCCACTGAGCCACACCAGTCAGGCTGGAAGACAATTATTTCTAAATAATCCCTTTATGTCATGTAATTATAAATAAATAAAGTAAATTAATAAATATTACTAGACATCTATTTCAAGGGTATTTCTAAATATTCTTATATATTCATGGAGGTCAGAAACTTCTTGGATCTTTGGGAAATGGGGACACATTTAGGATCATCTTACATTCAGGCATATACAGTATGTTACATTTTTGTGTTTATTTAGGTGGAAACCTTTTATTCTCAAATGCTATATGTCTGAACTTAAAGTTCAGTTTTTTATGCTTATTTTTCATTTTTTAAAAAAATTTTTTATTGATAATGCTATTACAGTTGTTATATCCCCCCCTTCATTCCCCTCCACCCTACCCCCCTGTCCCCACCATTACCCCCCCTTTAGTAGTTTATGACTATGTATCTCAAGTCCTTTAGATTCTATATTTCCCATGCTATTCTTGCCCCCCCCCATCTATTTTCTATCTACTGTCTATGCTACTTATTTTCTGTACCTTCTCCTCCTCCCACTCTCCTGTTGCTAACCCTCCTTGAGATCTTCATTTCTATGTTTCCACTCCTGATCTAGCTGTCCTTTTAGTTTGCTTTTGTTTTAGGTGTGGCTGTTAATAACTGTGAGTTTGTTGTCCTTTCATTGTTCATGTTTCTTTAACTTCTTTTTCTTAGATAAGTCCCTTTAACATTTCATATAATAAGGGCTTGGTGATGATGAACTCCTTGAATTTGATCTTATCTGAGAAGTACTTTATCTGTCCTTCCATTCTAAATGAAAGTTTTGCTGGATAGAGCAATCTTGGTTGTAGGTTTTTGGATTTCATGACTTGGAATACCTCTTTCCAGCCCCTTCTTGCCTGTAAGGTCTCTTTTGAGAAATCTGCTGACAGTCTGATGGGGACTCCTTTGTAGGTGACTGTCCCCTTAGCTCTTGCTGCTTCTAGGATTCTCTCCTTCATTTTAATTTTGGCTAATGTAATTATGATGTGCCTTGGTGTGTTCCTCCTTGGGTCCAACTTCTTTGGGACTCTCTGAGCTTCCTGGATTTCCTGGAAGTCTATTTCCTTTGCCAGATTGGGGAAATTCTCCTTTATTATTTGTTCAAATAAGTTTTCCACTGGTGGCTGTGCCTTTCCCCCTTCTGGTACCCCTATAATTTGGATATTGGAGCGTTTAAAGATGTCCTGGAGGTTCCTAAGACTCTCCTCATTTCTTTGAATTCCTGCTTCTTGACTCTTTTCTGTTTGGCCATTATTTGCTTTCTTCTGGTCCACTCCATTGATTTGAGTCCCAGTTTCCTTTTCATCGCTATTGGTGTCCTGTGCACTTCCATTCATTTCAATTAGTTTCGCCTTCATATATTTGTCTAATTTGTGGCTATAATCAACCAGTTCTGTGAGGATCCTGATCACCAGTGTTTTAAACTGTGCGTCTGAGAGTTTTGCTATTTCTTCATCACTTAGATTTATAGGCTCTGGGGCTTTGAGATCTTCTTGAGCCATTTTTGGTCTGTTTGTGCCCTTTAAGTGTGAGAAGCGGCGCCTTGGACTCCCAGGTCGCTGGGTTGTCATGCTGTATGTGGGGGCGTGGTCAGAGCGGGGAAACGGCGACCCCCTCTGCTGTTTCTCCCCACTGGGTGAGGAGCAGAGCCTTAGGTGGTTCACCAGGGCCTGGCCACTCAGAGTCGCTGGGTTATGACGCTGTATGTGGAGGTGGGGTCAGAGCAGGGAAATGGCGGCGCCCTCCGTGCCGCTTACTGCGGGGACCCGCCGGGTCGCGGTCCAATGGCCCACTCCCTCGCTCGTCTATCCGCGCACAAATGCGCAACCACAGTCAACCCGCAGCCCTGCTCTCTCGCTGTCCCCCCACCCCCACCCCCGTGGTGGCTCACTAAGTCCAACCCTGCGCCTGGATTCCGGGATCCTGAGTCCATCCCACCGAGTTTTCTTGTGCAACCCAGCCCCGACAGCCGCTGGTTTTGCCCCTTACCGGTCAGGCTGAAGAATTTGTTGTTAACAGACTTCCGAAAAGTTCAATTTTCTGTGTTCTGGCTGTGTGTTCTGTTGCTAATATTTAGTTGTCTCTAAACTTGGTTGTGTGAGAAGGCACGGCTTGTCCACCTATGCCTCCATCTTGGCGGAAGTCCTAATCTTCATTGTCTTTTATATAGCGGCTAATTTATAGATTTCATTATAGAAAATGTTAAACATGACTATATAAACAACAGTACTGTGAGACATCTAAGATCAGTGTTAAATCATTGATTATAGATTTCATTCAGCGTTTATATGGAAAATAATAAAATTGCACAGACCATTTCATGGGGAGAACCTAGTTTTGCTCTTTGATGAAATGAGGTGATGATTAATTCCAGTCATAGTAAAGCATACTAATAACTCCCGTTTTTTCCCCTCAATTTAGCTAGAACATATAGAAGTCAAGTTTGCCTCTGAAGCAGAAGATAAAATCAGGGAAGAATGCTGTCCTGGGAAACCACTTAATGTTTTTAGAACAGAGGTAAGTTGAAAGAATCTCACTGAATCTTTTTTTTTTTTTTTTAAGATTTTATTTATTTATCTTTTAGAGGGGAAGGGAAGGAGAGAGGGAGAGAAACATCAATCTATGGTTGCCTTTCGTGTATCCCCTGCTGGGAACTGGCCTGCAGGGAACCAGCCTACAACCCCAGTATGTGTCCTGACTGGGAATCGAACCACGATTGTCTGGTTCGCAGGCCCGCGCTCAATCCACTGAGCTACACCAGCCAGGGCAGAATCTTTCTTTCTTTCTTTTTTTTTTTTTAGAGCTAGAAGAGACCTTAGAGATCATTACATCCGATGAAGTAAGGGCCAGAGAAGTTAAGTGGTTGGTTTGGTCCAGGCCACACACAGTTGGTTAGATATTGGGATGGATTTGTGGTCTCCAAATTTCCTGGTTGGTGCAATATTTGCTTTTCCTTACTCTTCTGTAATAGATGGCATCAGATGTTATTTGTTGGTTAAAAAAATAAAAATTTGGGCCTGGCTGGTGTAGCTTAGTGGATTGAGCACGGGCCTGCGAACCAGACAATCGCGGTTCGATTCCCAGTCAGGGCACATGCCTGGGTTGCAGACCAGGTCCCTGCAGGCCAATTCCTCGCAGGGGACGCACGAAAAGGCAACCACACATTGATGTTTCTCTCCCTCTCTCCTTCCCTTCCCCTATAAAGATAAATAAATAAAATATTTAAAAAAAATAAAAATAAAAATTTGGTTTCTAAAACCTGATTTTTATTTTTAAAAATACAGTAGAAATTGAAATGTGAGATTTTTTAAAAAGTAAAAAGGCATTTTCATTGTTCAGGTGAATCTTGGTTTGAGAATGTTTTTCAAGATATTTTGCTTTCTGGCATAAGTGAAATATATGGGTTATCTTAAGTTATGCTGGAATTGATTTCTCCCTTTTTATTTGCTACTATTAATGAAGATAGATAGCTTTTGGAGTTTGGGAGGATTCTATTTATTTGTTCTCTAAGAATCCATTCCAAATGGCAGCATTTGTCCAAGTCCGGCGGACTGCGGTTGTGAGAGTCCATAAAATGTCCTTTTCTTGATAAGCAGTGTACTTTAGATATCTTAGATAACAAGCAGGATCTTTTATTACTTAGCCGACAGAATGTAGGAGGTGGTATGAGATAGGACTGGTTTAATCCTGTCTCTCCGTTTTTGGTTTTATGACCTTGGCCTACTTTGTTAAATATTACCAGTTCTGAGTTCTGAATCTGTGAAAAGAGTTCTTGAAGAACTACCTTTCAGGATTTAGGAATAATGATGCTGCCTGCTACATAGTAGAAATTCAGTAAATGAGGGTAGTTGGAGAAGAGAAAACAATTATTATCCATCATCATATTGATATTTGTAGTTGTCATTTTATCTAGGTGTTTGGTTGTAAGCATGACATTTGTACATTTTTTCTCTCATGTTTGAGTGTCCCTCTGTCATGATTTTAGAATGCTGGAATTAAGTCTGTCTTTCATTGGACATTAAAAATGTAGCAGAGTCCTCTTTGTTCAGAGTATTTAAGTTTGATTTCCTATAACAATTATTTTCTCTTTTATTTTTCTAGCCTGGTGTGTCAGTTTTCATAGTGAATCCCCAGCCATCCAATGGTCACTTCTCAACCAAAATTGAAATCAGGCACGGAGATACCTGCGATTCTATAATCAGGCGTTTAATGAAAATGGACCGAGGAATCAAAGGTAAAGGGCTTCCCCGCACATTTGGCAGTAGATTGTGGATTATATGAAATCTAAGCCAAGAAAGAAAAGTAGCTGACTTGCTTAGGGATAGCTGTGAGATGTTGTGGGAAGTGTATTGAACCTAGCAGCAGGAAACCTGTATTCTCTTTGGGACATTGTGAGTAGGTAGCTTGGTGACTTGGCCATGTCACTTAAACTCTAAACTGATCTCCCCTTTAGTAAAGTGAGGATGCTGGATTAGATATTTTTCTAAGACCCCATTGACCTTTAAATTGTAACAAGCAATTTCTGTTTCTCTCAGAGGTTTTCAGAGTTAAGGAACACATACTCTTAATATTCTAAACTAACTTGCCCAGTTGGGTTTGTTCTTAGGGAAGGAAGATGAACAGTAAACGTTAGTGAATGTGTGCCATGTGTTAGCCATCTGATCATTTTGTGACACTATAACACAGAGGGTATTATTACTCTCCTTTTACAGGTGATAAAGTGGAGATCAGAAAGGCTAAACAACTTGCAAAGTTCATTTAGCTATAAATCCTTGAGCTGAAATTCAAACTCAGATTCATCAGACTCCAAAGGTCACTCTTCTGAACAATGTGCCTGCAAATAAAATATGCAAATTTAATTTCTTATCAGGATTAAGTCAAAATCTATTATTATATTTATATAGTAGCTTATAGGGTTTTTTTAAAAATCACTGAGCCACATCTTAAGCTCAGCATGCTGTGAAGGGAGTTAGTGTGTCTCTGTATTATTTTTCTTCCCAATTAGGAAGAGAGATTAATGTTGAGATTCCTTATTTTGCATTATCTCTCTTCTTTTTGATGACAATCAAGAGTTGATTGGGCCACATTCCATTAGTATAAACTTCTTCCGAATAGATTTATAAGCCCCAGACAGTGACCTAATTTATGGGACTCTGTTCCAGGTAACAGTATACCATTAAGTTAGAAGATTTAAAATAGCCCTTTGGAATTCATTGTACCATGTTATTTTTTGTTCTCCTGAAGTCATTTATTTTCTGTGGGCACTTCTTGATTGACTATCATGTGTAGTGTATGTAGAGTTAAGGGTGTTTGTAGAGACTCCTGTGTATGCACCGGGGGGTTTGGGGAGCCCACAAAGTACTATTCATTAGGACACTGCATCTAGGGAAGGAATAGGGGACTAAGGTATTGACATACATAATCCTAATCTAAGGAGAAACTGCTGAGTGTAGTTAAAAGAGGTATAGATAAAATTGATGGCCAGTGAGGCAAAGGGTGATATTATTTCCAACTGTGGTGATCAGGGATGAATTTTTGGAGAAAATCCAGGGTCTGGTAGAAGTAAGGCCTGGTTGAATGTGGTTGGTGGGGTAATAATATGGGTGTAATAACTTACAGTTTTAATTTGAACATTTTACCTACAATGTCATATGGTGTGCCTGAGTCTGATATTGTTATGTTACAGAATTACATGCTTTATGATTTTGTAATGAAAACAGGGCGTTATTAGTGCCCTGTATTGTTTAGATGGGCACGAAAGTGATACCTGTGAGGGTGAGAGGACAGGATGGGTGGCGGGTGGTGCTGGGGTGCTCTCATACTTATTTCACTCTGTGTCAGCAATGTATCAGGGCTAGAGATTTTGTTGTTTTTCGACATTATTTTAAAATGGTGGTAAAATATGCATAACAAAATTGACCATTGTAGTCATTTTGAAGTATATGGTTCACTGCAATTAAATATATTTCCATTGTTGTGCAGCTGTCACACTGTGCACCGCCAGGACTTTTCCATCACCTTCAGCTGAGACCCTGTACCCACTAAACAATAACTCTCTATCATTCCGCCTCCCTCTAGTCCCTAGTGACCACTTTTCTACTTTCTGCCTTTATGTAGAGCCATGCAATATTTGTTCTTTTGTGTCTGGCTTATTTCACTTAGCAAAATGTCTTTGAGGTCCATCCATGTTGTTGCAGGCATCGACCATGCTCCCTGGGGAAACCAGGGACTGTAGAGTGAGAGCGCCATCCTTAGAGCTGTAGGCTACAGAAGGCAGGCAGTTTTGAAATATGAATATATAGGAAGCCATTTTGTGGCTTTATTCAGCTATTTTGTATTGCATATATGAATCATGAGAAAATTGTATGATAGGAACAACTCATTGCCACAAAGAACAATTTGGTGGCTTTTAAAGAAAATAGATATTGGTGTGGACCTACTGAGTAGGATTATCTTGAGGTGATAACACATGAGAGAATGTGTTTCTGTATTGAAAATTGTATTATATAATGTGCAGTCTGCTTCTGTTACATATCTCAGACACTAACTAGGTTCTTCACTGAGCCTCTGGCATACTGCTTATATCCTTTGTCAGACTAGCTGTGAATAAAGTCCTGTGAGTTTTGTATTAGTATCTGTTGTGAAATTTAGGAAATAGAGAGAAATGTTAGGGGAGTTTGAAATTAATATTCTTCCAAGTACCTACAGAAGAGCTCTAACCATTAGACTTTTCCAGAAGCCAGCAGCATGCTTTGATATCTAAGGGAGCGGAGAATGTGAGATGGCAAAGGAGTGAAGTGCAGTAACAGGTCTCCCTGTCTGTCTGCCACAGTGACCAGCAAGTTGTCCAATTAGTGCCCATGGTACTGGGGGTGATTATGGTCCAAATCCAGGAGGAATTGGGCTAAAGTCATCATTTTTCTCCACAAAGACCAGTCAGCAACTATTTGATGATAATGACTTGAAATCACTTGCAGCCCCTGCCACATATGAACCAGTAACTTGGAGTTCGCGAAAGCCTCCATTTCATATTATCAGTCCCTGGTGACTTTCAGTTACTCTCATCTCCTCTCTAAGTGCCTTAATCTTGTGTAGTTGCAGACTCAGATTTCAGCATTTTCAGTGAGGTCTGGGATAATCAGAAAAGACAGACCACTAAGAAGGCTCCAAGATTTATTGGCAGTAATGAACTACATGGTGAAACATCAAAGCAAATGTGTTTTGTCACTTAGAAACCTGATTGAGTGTTAAGGCTTCTTTGAAATAGTTTGATTCAGACTTGGCTTGGAATGATGAGGGAATTCTGTTTTAGAGGGAGACACACACACAGGCAGATCTGCAGTAAAAGGCCTTCTGCATAAAATCTGCTGGCAGAACTTGTCACTGCTTCCATAGCAAAATAATTTGGTATCACTGGTGAGCATGTTGAATTGCAAAGCTATAAAAATGAATCATATTTTTATCCCAAATGAGACCAGCACTGTCATGCAGGCTGTCCGCTCCTTTCCTTTTTTAACTCTTGAGGGCTTGTACTATATCTGGGAATAGATTTTATGCCCTCTGCAGAGACAGACTCTAGAGATTCTCAGGTAGGTTTTGTCTTCATGGTAGTCACAGGTGATTGCTCTATAAGCCCCAAGATTCCGCCTCTAAACTTGTAATCCTTCTGTCTTTGTTTCCGAAGGAGAAGAGAATGCACGGATACCTTGTACTCTTGGCATAGCCGCCAGCTGCTTTTGTGTCTCCTTTTATCTCTTATCCCTTTATCTCTTATCCCTCTCTTGCTAAGCTTCAAACTCTCAAAGCAACATAATTGGGAGTAGAGCTCACAGACCACCTAGTGATCTACTTAAGAAAGGGGTGGGAAGTAATTTGGAAAATAATCTTCTGTTTCTGTGGCTCAGGTTAAACATAACTAGCCAGGCTGCACTTAAAATCACCATTTCTAGTCATTTATCATGTTTTTCCTCTATATAAAATAAAACCATTTGGAGTTGGAAAGTCTCAGAATTGCTGAAATAAATAAACTTCTTTTCAGGCTCAATTGTTGGCAGGCTTGTTGGATCATAAATTTGATCAAGGGACAAGTCCTTTTTCTGCCAGAAGCCATCTTATCAGCTTGCACAAGAGCAGATCAGGAAAATCTGAAGCAGGGGAGGGCTGGAGCTTGTCCAAAAGCTTAAACTTCTAAAATTTGTGCCCTTTGCCCCTGCCCTTCCCCTTCTTGCCTTGTCTCTCATCAGCCTGTTAAAGCAAACACTTTTCATCCTTTGAGCAAAGCAAGAAACTCATTGTGCTATGTATTAGAATAGTAATTCTTTTTTTCCAAGTGTCTTCCAAAAAACCCCAGTAACTCTTACAGTTTTAATGTATTCCAGGAAGCAAGACAAGAAATAGAAGTGTTTTATACTTTCTGATATTCTGAAAAATGGTTAATCGAAGCATATAAAAAGTGGTTTGAGAGACCATATAGGATACTGCTCAAAATTAGACTCAACCCTTCGCCTTGGTTTATAAATTCCAGGGCATGTGTTACACAGGATCTCCGACAATTGTTGATCTGGGTAAAAGCTGACAGGATGATTTGTTAAGTTTAGCTTTGCTTTTTGAGATGGGGTCCTATTTCATAATCTGATGAAAATATGTTTTATATGTAATGATCATTGTGTTTAAGACATGAATTATCAGAGTCAGGGCATGGGTTTGAGTCAGTAATTAAATGCTCATATCAATCATCTTTTGCTGTAGATCTTTCCAAAGTGAAACTGATGAGATTTGATGACCCACTGTTGGGACCTCGGCGAATTCCTGTCCTGGGAAAAGAGCAAACTGGGAAGACCCCCATTTCTGAGCACGCTGTTTTCCACATAGACCTCATGAGCAAGAAAGTTTATCTTATGGAAAATGGGCTCCAGGAAGATATTGGTGATACAGTGGTCTATCTGATTCATTAGACTCTTGCAAACTGGAGATTTTTTCTGGTTTCTGGGGATGCTGTTTGGTGCCTACAGGTTGACGATGAGAACCTTAGGCTGGACCTATATAGATTTCATCTAACCATTCAATTCTGCATATAATCATAATTATACTAAGTCATCTTGGATTCCTGGACCTAATAAATTTTTTTCCTTAGAGCCTCCAAGAGAAACAGTTTGTCACACTTTTTTTTTTAATTTAAAAACATTACTGCTAATTCCCAGCAGCTTCCAACCTTTCACATTAACACAAAAGTGTCACTATGCTTCTGTAAGGTGTACTTCATACTACTCCTGAAGGCTAAAGGCATGTCTAAGAGCTTTTTATATCCATTATGGAGGTGGCCTTATTTCTCCTTTAAAGAGAAAAAAGTACATTAGGCAGCTAGTTTTGTGTTTTAAACAAAAGAACTCTCATGACCATTTAAAAGAATAAATGAGAATATGTTGACTTGACCACTATTTTGTATAAAGAACAAAAACAGTCTTGTATTTATAAGATTTTTTAGCTTTAATATATTCAGTTAACCACCAATATGTTTTCCAAGGCTTATAGTAATAGTTTGTAAGCAGTTTGTTTCAGCTATACTAACTTTAGGCATTTTAGAAAGAGGGGACTTCTTTCTACCCAGAAAACTGCAGTTATCAAATTTGTCTTGAGTCCAATTGTATTTAAAGACCATGCCAACTGTATTGCAGATATTGCAAAAAAATTTTTTTTTTATTCTTGCTGGAATGTCTGTGTATATTATTTGTGCCATCTGTCTTCATAATGAGGAAACAATACTAGGTGTTGACTGACAGAGGAGAAAAACTTTTCCATTGCTTAAAGGATTCAGTATGGGAAAGACCAATTCTGATAACCTGAAGGAGCCTGAATTCTTTCAGATCATGTAAAGAGATTTTGTTGAGCTTCTTTATTTTGCTTGGCACAGTTTGAGATTTCTAGGCCTAGTTGAGTGCTTGTAATGGATTCATCAAAGCAGATCATAGAACATAGGAGTTGAAAGAGCCTTTGGAGATCATCACATGCAAATCACCCCTGAACTGTTTGGGGCAGGCACTAGAGTGTAGTAGGTTAGATTACAGGTGCTGAGGTCAGGCCAGCTGGTTGGACTCCATTTCTTCAATTTGCTACTTTGCTGATCATAGCCCCTTACTCAGCCCATTTTCTCCACCTATTAAATAGAACTAATAATGTGCCTACTTTTCTAGGCTTATTGGGAGATGGTGAGATGAAACCATCTAGAAAAATCCTGTATATAGTATAGTGCCTTGCAAGTGGTAACCTTTCTGTAATGTTGATGATGATGATGATGAAGAAGAACCTTCAGTAAATGTTAGTGAATAATAATAATAAAACAACCAACCAACCAGGGCATATTGGCTTAGTATTACTATAGGCTATGATCATGTTATTTGTATCAGTTCCTTTGGGGCAGCTGCTTTGTGTTTGCCCTCCTTTAGATTCATTCTTTTGCTGCTCCCTCAGTCCGCATAACCTTAGTTATTCCCCAAATCAAAGTACTCTTTCCTGGTTCCTAAACACAAGCCTTCTTATGTTTAACTGAGGCTAATTAAACTGTGTGCGTGGGGAGAAAAGGAGAGAGGAAAATAACTTTATTATTGTGGGTGATTGTGCCTGTTTTATGAAACGAACCTGTGAACCTATGCTACATTGGATTACATGGGAGTTGGGATTCATGGCTGCTCAGTTTCCTCAGCCTCACTTCCCCAGAGTCTCTCTTAGAGTGAGCATCTTGCTGGGCTGAAGAAGCTTTTTGTGTTTGACAGCATGTAGGTTTTGTACAAGGAAGCCTCTAAGCATAAGCCATTACTTCATGTGGTGCTCAACTGAAAAAACAGCAATTAGTTGAAATGCTGAGGGAAAAACAGGTTGCACTGGGCTTATTGTATTGATAGGAGAGTCATTCCTTCCTAAAGGACTTTAATGCACATTTTTAAGTTGTGAAATAAAATGCACCACACAAAATGTGAACAAGAAATATATAGTGTACACATAAGACATGTAAAATACATACAAAACATGAACAACAGCAAGACAGACTTTATCAACAAAGCAGAAATCTATATACTCACCAGCCAGTCAAGGAATAGCAAGTAGTACAACGTCAGCACCTCAGAAGCCTGCCTTCTGCCTCCTCCCATAAGACAAGCTTGTGGCCCGTATATGACCCAGTTTTTATACACGGTCCATGTAAGTTTGAAAAGAATGTCTGTTCTGCCATCGTAGACTTCTAGAGATGTGAATTAGGTCATAGTTACAGATTGTCAAATCTACAGACTAGTCAAATCTGTATTGTATTCTTTTGCTTGATCAGTTTTACTCATTGTTTAGAGGTGTACTAAGATTAAAATCTCTCACGACCTATTTTGACTTATTTTTCCTTCTAGTTCAGATAGTTTTTGTTCATTCCAGTCCACTGACCTTGACTGCCAGGTTACATCGGTGTTACACAAACCATTCCTGTTATGTTAACAATGGCTGGACTTTTTCCAGACAGACCTCATGTATATTTTAAATCATAATATTTATCTACGATCACAATTCTTTCTTGTCTTCTCCCCTTAAATATTTGTATCTTCTCACACAGTGAGAACTCTGGTTCCCAAGAACCTCAATATATTTACTCATTTGTTCTGTTAATAATTTCAGAGTTACCAATCAATACTACTATTAACAACAAACCTATATATGTATACATATATATACACGTATACACACTCATGTATAAATTTTTGTAGTTCTTTGTGTCTTTAAAACAAAGACAGTACATTTTTTTCAAATATTACTTGAATGAATTCTCTATTTGAAATTTTAGTCCTTTCTCTTATTCAACTTTTTAGTTGGCTTTTTTCCGTTTATTTTTTTAATAAGTAAAATACATGGTTTTAAAAATCAAACTGTATTCATTCAGGGAATTTGTACTCTTGCATGACATTCCCACCCCACATAGCTAGTCATTTTTATTAGTTTCTGAACTTTTTTCCATGTTTCTTCTGAAAATAAAGCAAATATTTATATGTACTTTAATGTCTTCTTTCTCATCCAAAAAATAGCATGTAGCATGTTATGTATATTTACACCTTGCTTTTTTATGCTCACAACGTAGCCTGAATATTTTCCCACTTCAGATCCTAGAGATGTTTCTCTCCCCCTCCTTTTCCTCCCTTCCTCCCCTTCGGTCCATCCTCTACTCCTTCCTTGTGTAATATAATTATAAAGGCATTTCATAATTTATTCAACCAGTCTCCTATGGGTGAGCATTTCGGTTGCTCTTAAGTTTTGATATTTTATAGGATCTGTGTAGAACTTTGTAGTGAGAAACCTTGTGAATACATGTGGTTTTATATTTGTGGAGGTGTGTCTTCAGGGTAAAATTCTAAAGGTAGGCTTGTAGGTTCAGCAGATAAAAGGCTGTGAAGAAAGGGCATATAGCTGGTCTGCTGGGAAAATAGCAGAGAGGCCACGTCAAAAACAAAGGCCTACGGGTGGGAAGTAGCCTGCCCCAAACCCTATCCCCAAGTGGTCAAGCTAAATTGGAGCCCTGGCCTCTGTCCGCTTTTTCAGTCCACTGCAGCGAACACCAGAGAAGGCAGACGTGGAGCACAGAAATGTGTTTGGCCAAGGCCAGCCCTCTCAGGGCCATTAGGTTAGAGGAGGGAGCAGTGTCTACGTGCCTGAGTCAGGTTGGCTTCACAGGCGAGATGGGATGTGAAGGATGAGTAGGAGCTGAGGGAGCGGGGCCAAATCCTTAGCTTTCAGAACTAGGTGTGGAAAACAAATGCATGGATAATTTGGGAGATAATGCCAGGGATGGAATGTCTATCTCGGAGAAATGGGAGGAAAAGTAGAAACAGGTAAGTACATGGGAACTTACTATAAAAACTCTTGCATTCCAGGATGAAATTCAACATTGATTTAATTGTCTGGAGAATTATTGCAAATTTTTGAAATGGGAATGAGATGACAGATGCCTTCATACCTTCTGTAGTTTGTGGTAGTATTTATTAGATATCAATGTGCCTGGTTCTGGTAGGTTTCAATGTCAGCAGACACTTTGTTAAACTGTTTTCTCCTTAATGTCTTTGAACATAACTTCATATCCATATTAGAAAATATTCAGATGCCAACAAAGACTTGTGGCATTAATCAAGGTTTCTAGTTGCCTGCCTCTGTACCTAGAGTTTAATTGGTTGTAAGGCAGGGGAAACCCACATGTATAAAACAACAGCGTAGGATATGATCCTTGCTCCTAAGGGCTTCAGGAATGTGACGAAGGAGTTCATACTGTACTTTCATTTGGGAGGAGTAGGTGGTCATTTGTTCTACTCCTTCTTTTCCTTATATTAGAGTTAGGTCTAGAGCCGTGCTGTCCAATGATGTAGTCACTAACTACTTGTGTATAGAGCACTGGGAATGTGGCTAGTCTGGACTGAGATGTTCTGTAAAAGGGTAGACTTCCAGTTTCAAAGATTTTGTATGACAAAGAGGATACAAAGTATCTGAATAATAATTTTCCCTTATATTGATTATAGGTTGAAATAATATTTGAGTAATTTGGATTAACTATATCAAAATAAATTTCAACCATTTCTGTTTACTTTTTTTAAAATTTAATTTTATTGATTATGCCATTACAGTTGTTCTATTCCCCCTTCATTTTCCTCCACCCTGCATCCCCCCTCCCCCACCATTCCCCCCTTTAGTTTATGACCACGTGTCTCAAGTTCTTTAGATTCTATATTTCCCATACTATTCTTGCCCTCCCCCCCATCTATTTTCTACCTACTGTCTATGCTACTTATTTTCTGTACCTTCTCCCCCCTTCTCCTCCTCCCACTCCCCTGTTGCTAACCCTCCATGTGGTCTTCATTTCTATGGTTCTGCTCCTGATCTAGCTGTCCTCTTAGTTTGCTTTTGTTTTAGGTGTGGTTGTTAATAACTGTGAGTTTGCCATCCTTTCATTGTTCATCTTTTTTATCTTCTTTTTCTTAGGTAAGTCCTTTTAACATTTCATGTAATAAGGGCTTGGTGATGATGAACTCCTTGAACTTGATCTTATCTGAGAAGCACTTTATCTGCCCTTGCATTCTAAATGAAAGCTTTGCTGGATAGAGCAATCTTGGTTGTAGGTCTTTGGTTTTCATGACTTGGAATACTTCTTTCCAGCCCCTTATTGCCTGCAACGTCTCTTTTGAGAAATCAGTTGACAGTCTGATGGGAACTCCTTTGTAGGTGACTGTCCCTTATCTCTTGCTGCTTCTAGGATTCTCTCCTTCATTTTAATCTTGGCTAATGTCATTATGATGTGCCTTGGTGTGTTTCTTCTTGGGTCCAACTTCTTTGGGACTCTGTGAGCTTCCTGGACTTCCTGAAAGTCTATTTCCTTTGCCAGATTGGGGAAATTCTCCTTTATTATTTGTTCAAATAAGTTTTCCACTTGTGGCTGTTCCTCTTTCCCTTCTGGTACCCCTAAAATTTGGATGTTGGAACGTTTAAAGATGTCCTGGAGGTTCCTAAGTCTCTCCTCATGTTTTTGAATTCTTGTTTCTTCATATTTTTCTGTTTGGTCATTTTTTTCTTTCTTCTGGTCCACTCCTTTGAGTCCCAGTTTCCTTTCCATCACTGTTGCTTTCCTGTGCATTTCCCTTCATTTCAATTAGTTTAGCCTTCATTTGTTCCTCTAATTTATGACTAAAATTAACCAGTTCTGTGAGCATCCTGATCACCAGTGTTTTGAACTGTGCATCTGAAAGTTTGGCTATTTCTTGGTCGCTTAGAGTTATTGGCTCTGGAGCTTTGAGATCTTCTTGAGCCATTTTTGGTCTGTTCACGCCAATTAAGTATGAGGAGTGGAGCCTTAGGTGTTTACCAGGGAGGGGCCACCCAGGTCACTGGGATGTGGTGCTGTATGTGGGGGCGGGGTCAGAGAGGGGCAATAGTGGTCCCCTCTGCTGCTTCCTGCTGCTGGGGCCTGAGTGGTCCGTCTCACTGCTCACTCCTTCGCCTGGTTTATCTGTGCTCGAATGTGTGACCATGGTCAGCCAGCCGCCTTGCGCCCTCACTGGGTCTGCCCATCGCAACCCCACACCTGGGATCTGCTAACCACCACCTGCCCGCTGGTGGTGCCCACTGGGTCGGTCTGGTTGATTTTCTTGGGCAACCCCACTCCCACAGCCACTGGCTCCGCCCCTCTTACCAGTCTGGCTGAAGGGTTTGTTGTTGTTGGACTTCCATATAGTTCAATTTTCTGTGTTTTGGCTGTGGTTTTTGTTACTAAAACTTTGTTGTTTTTAAACTTGTTTGTGCCAGCAGGCACAATGTTTCCACCTACGCCTCCATCTTGGTGAAAGTTCTGTTTACTTTTTTATTTATTTTTATTTTATTTTATTTTATTTTTGAGAGGGAACCCCCAAAATGAAATTTATTTCTAAAAAATTGTTTGTTTATTCTTACATGTTTAAATTTCAGTCAATCACCTTCAAGTCACATTTGATGCAATTCACCTATCAAGAGTTTTCCCACTGCTCAGAATAGTTTTTTTAAATTTTTTTATTGATTATGCTGTTACAGTTGTTCTATTCCCCCCCTTCATTCTTCTCCACCCTACCCCCCTGTCCCCACCATTAGCCCCCCTTTAGTTTATGTCCATGTGTCTCAATTTCTTTATTTATTTTATTTTATTTTTTTTAATTTTTTAATTGATTATGCTGTTATAGTTGTTCTATTCCCCCCTTCATTCCCCTCCGTCCCCACCATTACCCCCCCTTTAGTTTATGACCATGTGTCTCAAGTCCTTTAGATTCTATATTTCCCATACTATTCTTGCCCCCCAGCTATTTTCTATCTGCTGTCTATGCTACTTATTTTCTGTACCTTCTCCCCCCTTCTCCTCCTCCCACTCCCCTGTTGCTAACCCTCCTTGAGATCTTCATTTCTATGTTTCCACTCCTGATCTAGCTGTCCTCTTAGTTTGCTTTTGTTTTAGGTGTGGTTGTTAATAACTGTGAGTTTGCTGTCCTTTCACTGTTCATGTTTCTTTAACTTCTTTTCCTTAGATAAGTCCCTTTAACATTTCATATAGTAAGGGCTTGGTGATGATGAACTCCTTGAATTTGATCTTATCTGAGAAGCACTTTATCTGTCCTTCCATTCTAAATGAAAGTTTTGCTGAATAGAGCAAGCTTGGTTGTAGGTCTTTGGATTTCATGACTTGGAATACCTCTTTCCAGCCCCTTCTTGCCTGTAAGGTCTCTTTTGAGAAATCTGCTGACAGTCTGATGGGGACTCCTTTGTAGGTGACTGTCCCCTTAGCTCTTGCTGCTTCTAGGATTCTCTCCTTCATTTTAGTTTTGGCTAATGTAATTATGATGTGCCTTGGTGTGTTCCTCCTTGGGTCCAACTTCTTTGGGACTCTCTGAGCTTCCTGGATTTCCTGGAAGTCTGTTTCCTTTGCCAGATTGGGGAAATTCTCCTTTTTTATTTGTTCAAATAAGTTATCCACAGGTGGCTGTTCCTTTCCCCCTTCTGGTACCCCTATAATTCAGATGTTGAGCGTTTAAAGATGTCCTGGAGGTTCCTAAGACTCTCCTCATTTCTTTGAATTCTTGCTTCTTGACTCTTTTCTGTTTGGCCATTATTTGCTTTCTTCTGGTCCACTCCATTGATTTGAGTTCCAGTTTCCTTTTCATCGCTATTGGTTTCCTGTGCAATTCCATTCATTTCAATTAGTTTCGCCTTTATATGTTTGTCTAATTTGTGGCTATAATCAACCAGTTCTGTGAGGATCCTGATCACCAGTGTTTTAAACTGTGCGTCTGAGAGTTTTGCTATTTCTTCATCACTTAGATTTATAGGCTCTGGGGCTTTGAGATCTTCTTGAGCCATTTTTTGGTCTGTTCGTGCCCTTTAAGTGTGAGGAGCTGAGCCTTGGACTCCCAGGTCACTGGGTTATGATGCTGTAAGTGGAGGTGGGGTCAGAACGGGGAAATGGAGGCGCCCTCCACTGCCCTTGCCGCGGGGACCTGCTGGGTCCCGGTCCAGTCGCCCACTCCCTCGCTTGTCTATCTGCGCACAAATGCGCGACCATGGTCAACCCGCAGCCCTGCTCTCTCGCTGTTTCCCCGAGGTCGCTCACTCAGTCGCTCGCTCGGTCGCTCACTAAGTCCAACCCTGCGCCTGGATTCCGGGAGCATGAGTCCGTCCGACCAAGTTTTCCTGTGCAACCCTGCTCCGACAGCCGCTGGTTTCACCCCTTACCGGTCAGGCTGAAGAGTTTGTTGTTAACAGACTTCTGAAAAGTTCAATTTTCTGTGTTCTGGCTGTGTTTTCTGTTGCTAATATTTAGTTGTCTCTAAATTTGGTTGTGTGAGAAGGCACGGCTTGTCCACCTATGCCTCCATCTTGGTGGAATTCCTCTGTTTACTTTTTTAAAACTGGAAAATTTAAAGTTGTGTATGAGGCTGGCCTATTTCTATGGGACAGTGTAGTCTAGAAACAATGAAATTTAGATTAAATGCTGTTTTTTATTGTATTGTATCAAGAGTTGTATAGTGTCAGTTTGTCCCACTTGTAGTGTTAACTAAATTTGATAATTTTGCAAATATTCCACTTTAGAGATACATTTCAGTCACTTCCAGAACTTTCTGTTATAAAGATATATTTTTAAATCACTTCAGACTTTTTGTTTTGAAGATAGTTTACACTTTCTGAAACAGTACTTTCAGAACTTTCCATGGTAAATATATATTTTAAAGCATTTCTGAAGGTAAGATGCATTGTTTCTTTTGCAATGAGAAATTTGGCACCTTGGGAATGTTCTGTTCTCAATTTTTTTACCTCATGGTTTTTTAAAAGAATTTTTATATTTTATTTATTTATCTTTAGAGGGGAAGGGAAGGAGAGAAGGAGAGAAACATCAGTGTATGGTTGCCCCTCGTTGGCCCCCCGCTGTGGACTGGCCCAGAACCCAGGCATGTGCCCTGATTGGGAATCGAACTGTGATCCTTTGGTTCGCAGGCCCATGCTCAATCCACTGAGCTATACCAGCCAGGGCTCAATTTTTTTACCTTATGGTTTTGATACCCCTTGAAGATCCTTTCCTGAAGAAGTTATGTTGGGAACTAGTTCTAACACTATCATTTCTTTTTCATAAATAGTTGTCATCCTTCTATAAAAAAAGCATTTTTCTTTTTTTATTTTATTTTTAGGTGAAGGAGCTGTGTGGTATGTGGATTAGTCGCTTCATACAATAGATGTTTGATTAGAAAAGATGGGTACAAGTGGAATCAGCTGACATGTATAATGATTGTTCACTCTTCAAAGGAATTTTATTATAAATCCTTTTTGCCAAGCAAGTAATTACCTCTGAATTTTTGTTCTTATAAACTTGAATTTTCCTGTATACCACATTGTTTGACACACTGTTTGAGTGCTTATTATGTATTGAACACAGTTAAGCACTTGGACCAGAGTGGGAAGCTGAGGAAACACAGTGTCCTTCACGTAGGACATATTGTTACGGTTACGATGACAGCAAGAGTTGCTTAGAGCACAGTGAGCGAAGGTGATTATGAAGCAATATCTGAAGAACCTGACTTGGGAGGAATTGTATAGTTTTTTGTTGACAACCCTGCTCAGGTAATTCAGAACCCTAAGCAATCATTCACTATGAGTCTAATGCCAAGCCTGTATAGTGACAGTTGGCAGTTTTCTCTTGTTGTTCCTTTAATGTAAACCCCTTCCTTCAATGTGCAATTTCATCTTGATTTTGGGGGTCTCTAGAAATTTTCCAAATGTTTTGGGGGTTCATATCTCCACAAGGCATGCCCTAGAGACACTTCTCAGCCTCCTGAGACACTGAAGACTTAGAGCAGTGGACAGGCAACCACTGCCCATCCCTGCTTCTGTTCACTAGATTCCCTTGGGGCTGGGTAGGAAGAGCCACAAGCACACCACTTCCCTGGCATGATCAGTGAAGCCTCCAAGGGTGGAGGCTTTTAGAAGTTCTAAAAAGCCCTAGAGGCTTAGGACAACCTAGCATAGTTCAAACTTTAGACCATTTTTCATGTGGGGGATTCCAGTACACTACCTGGGCTGAAAGACCTTTCTGTCCCTGCTTTCATGTTGTGGGGCTCCTCCTGCTGACCCGGACCAGCAGTTTTGGGGTGAGAAGGCCCTGCTGTTTCTCAGCTATGCCACGTGGCAGAAATCTACCCTTTTGAGTCGCCTGAGGAAAGATCCAGTGGCACTTTGCTTGATAAATGCTTATACTCGAGCTATCTCTCAAAGCAAAGGGGTTTTTTCCCCAAAGGTAAGTTTAAAAAAAAAACTTAAACTATACCTTCAACAGCATCTCCCTTCAGATTAATGAGATGGACAGGTGTGTACCTGTCATTAAAGAAATAAGATGCTTGTCATTTGCACTGCTATGACCTCAGGTTCTAGAATATCCAGGCAACATTCTTTAGAAGAGCTGTTTCAGTTTGTGTTGAACCTCCATTTGGGATCAGTCAGCTCACTGTCAAAGGGAAAAGGATAGCCTGAGTGACAAGAAAACCTATCACTATGAATTGGTTTGGAAATGACTTCTCAAAGTTGCCTGAGGATGTCTGCTTACTCAATATACACTCACCTCTGTCGCTTTCATTCATAGCAACTGAAGAGGAACGACAGTTTATTTCCAACTTGAGGCAGTGAGTAGTAGGGTGATTCCCCCAACCCCTAGCTCTTGCCTTTTGGTTGGAATATTGAATTAGTTTCTTATAAGGAGCCAAGAAATGATAGCTGGGCTTGGGAAGAAAGAAGTTGCTATCATTTCCCATGCAAACTTCAAAAGAGGGCAACTGATTAGTTCCTTCTGGCCTTGCTTGGCTCACCAAAAGAGAAGGGCTGGCTTGGGTGAAATGATGTCTATTTATTCTTAAAGTGTTGAACCCTGATCAAGTGAGTCTATTTCTGATGGCTGCCAGTAATTTCTACCCTTTTGAAATCAAATGGCAGTATAATATTGTCTGGGGTAATAGAGCTAAAAGCTGTGCAGGAAGCTACAATAGCTACTTTAGTTTGATCTCTGAAATATTACTCAGTTCTGAAAGGAATGACCAAGTCCCTTGTAGTCCCTACATAGAAAGTGCTCAATGAAGGGTAGCTGTGCTTGTTATTTTCTTTATGACACATGAGCTATATAACCTTGAACTGAAATGTTTTAGCCAATGCTTGATAATTCAAATGCTGTAATATAAAAATCACCAAAGAATCAAGGTATAAAGGAAAGAAACTCAATAATGTACTTCTTGAGTTCAAAATTAGGTAAAACAGCCCCCCAAAAAACAACTTTTCTTTTCATTAATGAAAAGCTATCCTCTCAGTTACTTGGTTTGGAATAGATAGGGGACAGGCTGCCTCACCATAATAAAAGGCAACATACACATGATGCTGAGTGAGCAAGCAGCAGAACATTCTCTTCTAGGGCTGCAAGCTGTACATGGTTTATTTCAGGGGAAATTGAATATAGGGGCTCAGCACTAAGAAATTCCTTGACTAAAAATCGGAGATAATTGGAAGCTTTTAATATAATGATGGAAACACCGATCAGTAGGCATTGTCACATTGAAAGGAAATCCTCAGACTGTGTGCAGGGGTGCAGGAAGATTTTAGGGTTCTCTGCTTGTATTTCATCAATCGTACCTGAGAGTTATGCCTTTCCTAGGGAATGAAATACAGTGACAGACAAATAACTTAGAGCTAGATTTGAGGAGGACTGAAATATAACGGAAGAGACATGTACATTCAGCTTGATCCAGTTCAGCAACACACCCACCCACTAGGTTTGAGGTAGTAGTTGGACTCTGGGACTATGGGGAGAAGTGGCATGTGCCCCAACCTCATGGAGCTTATGTAGAAATAGAGGGAATAAGAGGTGTTAGAAAGGTGGTTTTCTTCAGGGCCAGTTTGACATCTTTATAGGTTTCTTAGTTGGCTTGGGCTACTTTAGAAAGATATCAGAGAATGGAAATGGCTTGAAGAATGGGAATTTATTTTCTCATGGCTCTGGAGTCTGGAAGTGCAGGATCAGGATGCCAGCACAGCCAGGTTCTGGTGGGGCCTGAGCTTGCAGCCTTCTCAATGTTTGCTCATCCTATTAGACCAGAACCTCACCCTGTCTTCATTTACCACCCCCCCAAAGCCCCAATACAGTCAGAATGGGGGTCAGCTTCAGCATATGGATTTGGGGGGGACACAATTTAGTCCATAGAGGTAGATCCTCACCCACATTACCACAAATATACTAAGATATACTGTACATTATATCCACATGTTTTCTTTGCTGAATAATAAGTGAAAAGATTTATATAATATTGCTTTTGAAATTATCTGAGTTATTTATGTTTGGCATCTGCTTGCCAGCAGACATTCATGCTTGGGATTTTTTTTTTAATGAGAGAATTATAAGTTGTTTCCAAGTGTAATAAAAATATTTCTGCAGTTTTTCTATTTTTGAGCCAAGACTTTTTTCTAGGACTCACTTTTTGTAGACTCTTAAAAACCTTGTCAGGCTCCTCCGCATAGTCTCTAGTGCCCAGTGGATAATTAAAGGTCTGGGCATTTTCCATAGCTGCATTTTCAGCTTCTAGACAGGTAGCCCCCGACCCCAGCCCCTCTGGTGCAGCATCTCCAGCCATTTGCCCCCCATGCCTCCCCAACCCCTATGTCACTGGCATTTTAGACACTGATGTCAAAAATGCAGGCAGCCTCTTTCCTTCCAGTCTACCTCCTTCTCCATGAAGTGTCTGTCATGCTGGGTTTGAACTGAGGTCTCTTGCTTACACATTTGTGAACTATTACGAAGCACCAAGAAACACTGAAGATGTAGCCTGGATACTGAGTTGGAAGGACAGGATTTGGAACAGTAATGCCATTAATAGAGATGGGGCACACAGAGAAGGTATGAACGAGGAGAGAGGGAGGTAGTGAGGTCCATTGTGGCTTGACATCTTTGGGTCCCTTCCTCCTGTTTATGCCTTTGCCTTGGCTTATCAGTTGTCCTCTGAACTATCTTCTTGTTTCCTAATTAATCACTGTCCTTGACTCTCCAGGGGCCATGCACCAGCCCAGGCTGTGGTGAAGCAGCCTGCCAGGGGTGCCAGAGGCAGAACGGCAATCACAGTGATTGTCCCCACCGGGGGTGACTGGAGCACCGGCCTCTTCAGTGTCTGCAGAGACAGGAGAATTTGTATGTTTTTCCTATTCATTCATTTAAGTTCTCCTTTAGTATTTTCTTTCCCAAGACATCAGTGGATGGAAAAGCAACCTCAGGCACAAGGACAGAAATTAAATGGTTTCAGAATAATTGAACTAATCCTCTACTGACTCAAATCTTGGAAAGGAAAAAATCTTGCCTTTCAGAGATGTGGATGCTTTTATAGAACAGGTGGTGACTTACAAAGATTTTTTAAATCACAAAGTACACTTTTGGTAAACATACACAAAATAGTAAAACCTTCCTGGTGGATGGTTTAGTAATACGTATAAAAAGAGCCTCAGGTGTTACATAGCTGTTGACCTGGTAATTACATTTTCAAGTGTTTAGTGTAAGAAAATAAATCACATGCAAAGATTTAGCAGTGACATGAAATCTCACAGCATTGGTTATTATAGCAACAATCTGGACAACCTAAATGTTCAGTGAGGGCCTCATACAGCGAATTATTATACAGCCATGAAAACCCATGTTGTCAAATAACATTTAATGGGATGGAAAGATATTTTGGATACATTTTTAAGTTAAAGAAAGATTGCAAAGCTGTGTGCCTTGGACACCATTTTGGGGGGAAATACTTAGAAAAATATCTGAAAGGATACAAATACAAATGTTTTCAGCTGATGTCTCCAGATGGTGGGCTAATGAGTGATTTTTAAAATTTTTTACTTCTTTTTCTATTATTTCTATAAGGAATATGTGGTGCTCTTATAACTGTAAGAAACATTACAAAAGAAGCCCCCTTGATTGAAACCTTTGCAGATAATTGTTCAGAAATACCAATAACACCGTCCTCTAGCTACATGATTTTCCCCTGGGATTAAGGTTCAAAGCTCATTGATTCTATTTTTACCTTAGGACATTCTGACCCACCTCTGGTGCCACCTGTCAGTATCTGCTTCCAGGACCTGATGCTCTTGCCCTGGAGAGCAAGTCGATTACTGATTTTTTTTTATAATACATTTTATTTAGTTACTTTTCAAGTACATTTTTTTATCTATTTCTCCCATCCCACCCCCCGCCCGGTCTCCCCCCTTCCTCCAATTTCCCCTCCCCCAGTCCTCATCCCTGTGTCTTTCATACTTGTTCCTCAAAATCCCTCCCCCTTTTTCCCCTTAAATTCCCTTCGCTCTCCCCTCTGGTCGCTGCCCACTTGTTCTCTATTTCAGTGTCTTTGTTTTTATTCTGTGTGCTTGTTTGTTTTATTCTTTAGCTTCCTGTCAAAGGTGAGATCATATGGTATTTGTCTTGAAGTGTGTGTGTGTGTGTGTGTGTGAGATTGGGAGGTTCCCTATGAAAGATGAGGGACAGTCTCTTCAGTTCAAAATCAACAGATCCTGGATCTAATATTTTTTAAGAATATGGCTCTCCCCACTTTTTGCAGGCTCTGGGAAGACCTGAATTTGTCCCAAAGTCAACAGGGTGGCTCAGTGAGAGAGCTCTGGACTGTTTACATGATCTAGGTCCTTATTCAACCAAGACTCTTGCACAGGGAAAAGCCCTGACACTTCTTGGTGCTCTGATCATCTCACCTTACACCTTTACTGCCTGAGCCTTCGGAGAAGAGACTGCCCACCCCCAGACCCCATCTGTCTTCTTTTCCTGTTTCTTTGCCCATCTAATCTAGAGTTCAGCTGGTTTCTTCCTGCCACTGCTACCCGTGTGGATGTCTGACCAGACAAGTTAAGGCGGTTCTCTCTTTCAGGAGTCTTCCTGGTTTTCATACAGACTTTCTGCCTCTGGTTATCATGTAGTATTGAGGTAAAGAGAAGGCAGGACAGCCACATAGAGATGAGAAGATGAGCCCCAGGTGGGATGTGAACCATTTTCCTTTTGTAGCTTGTGGTTGGGGGTTGGAGAGCCATCAGTGCATTTCCCAGTAGGGCACAGCCTGGAATACAATGCAGTGATTAGGAGAACACGTTTGTATCAGATATAGACTTTGCTTTGAGTTTTAACTGCCTTTTTCTGGTCATTTGATTTCAAACAAATTCTCTAAAATCAGGACAGTGAAGGAACCCACATCGAGGGTTGTTGTCTGGATTAAAGTAGACAGCGTATAGAACCCACTCTTCTCAGCGATTTGGATCGTAACTGGGTTGGTGTTCTTTCGGTCACACGTTGTACTGGGTTGAACAGTGTCCCCTCAAAGTCCATGTCCACCTGGAACCTCTGAATGTGACCTTAGGTTGAAAAAGAGGTTTTGCAATCTAGTCAAGTTAAAAAGAGGTAATAGTGGATTAGGGTGGGCCCTAATTCCGTGGTTTGTGTTCTTATAAGAAGAGGGACATCTGAACACAAACAACAGGAAGGATGGTCATGTGAAGGTAGAAGCAGAGACAGGAGCAATGCATCTCTAAGCCAAGGAATGCTAACGGTTACTGGAAACCACCAAAATCTTGGAGCGAGGTGTAGAACAGACTCTTCCCTCAGAGCTTCCGGAGGAACCAGCCCTTCCAACAAGTTGATTTCAGACTTCTAGCCTCCAGGGTTCTCCAGAATTTGCCTATGACAGAATCATTTCTCTTGTTTTGCAATGACCAGTTTCTGGTATTTTGCTCTGGTGGCCCTAGGAAACTAACATCCAGGCAAATGCTGGATTTCATTAGAAGGCTATGGGATAACTCACGGAATCAAAAAATGAACTGGACGGGCCTGTGAACTATGCAATCGAGGTTTGATTCCCAGTCAGGGCACATGCCTGGGTTGCAGGCCCATTCCTGGCGGGGGACCCACGAGAGGCAACCATACATTGATGTTTCTTTCCTCTCCTTCTGTCCTTCCCTTCCCCTCTAAAGATAAATAAATAAATAAATCTTTAAAAATTTTCAACTGGAAACTAAGCTCAGATGGAACAAGATGGCTGGGCATTATTGGGTGCTAGCTGAGAGTCTGGTCAGCTCCGGACATTTTTGTTTTTTTGGTTTCCTGTCTAAGGATTGATGTTTCAGCAGATGGAACCTGATTTGCCTAGCTTAGGTCATGTGCTACTGCTTGGCCAGGCCAGGGTATTTTTGAATGAGAGTTCTATCAATATTGCCCACAATAGTAAGGGATAATTTCCTAAGTTTTTCTGTCGGGGTGCTGTCAAACCTTGGTTCTCAAACATCTCCCATCTCAAATAATTCAGTTCTTGACCAAGTTGTTCATGGCAAAAAATATCTCAGTTGTTCTGTTCCCTCCCCAGCAACACTTTTGTGCCAATACCTGTATGATTGGTCAAAAGAGATTCCGTTTTTGAGCAAATTGGTTCTCAAACAGCCTTCCAGAATGAATGAAATTTGAGAACTGAGGTTCCACTGTATATATACAATAATTCACTGGGGGAAACTTTGGTGCTACTATTATTATTATTTTACAGTTTTATTAATCCACTAGCATGTTGAGAGCAAAGAGTAGAGTCAGGAGACTTAGACTGGCAGCTGCAGAGTGAATTCTACTCAATCCCAAGAGTATCTAGGAAGTTGGGCAAGAACAGGACACTCTTCACCAACCCCTCTGCCTTCAATGTCATGCTGTTGCTTAGCTCTGCTCCCCACCCCCATCAATGCTGAGGAAACCTCCCACACCAGTTTCCTAAGGATTCCCTGCTGGTCTGTTTGGTAGCCCATTCTAGGGGCAAGGGGAGGAGGAAGGAACATGTGAAGAAACATGGGCAATATTCTTTTACAACTGGACCTGATTCTGAAGGGCAGTCCATGAATATACAGCACAGTGATCTCTAATGTTCTACGTCCTAATCGTTGTTCCCTGGATGGGCTTCTATTTTGTGACTGCTTGTTTCTCCAAGTTTAATTGTCTCAGAAGAAAATTGAAAGGCCATCTCCCTTTACCCACTTCTTGTCTGTGCCGTACTCCCTAGGATGCCACTGTGGCATGAGTCCTGGGTGTCTTTCTGTCCTTTTCTGTTCAAAAAGGCTACTTCACCCACAAAATTTTATGTCAAGCCAATCACTGTGAAAACAGTTGTGACAAACTCAGGAACAAAAGGAGAGCTTCTTGTCATTACTTTGTTCCATGTTCGGTTCCAACACTGGGACACTTTTCTATTATATCTTGAGAATTATTGCTATAATTTGTCATCCATTAAGCGGAGGGCACATTATGAACAGAGATGATTCCCATTATTTTTTAATTTATTTATTTTTTATTGATTATGCCATTACAGTTGTTCTATTCCCCCCCTTCATTCCCCTCCACCCTACCTTCCCGTCCCCATTACCCCCCCCTTTAGTTTATGACCATGTGTCTCAAGTTCTTGAGATTCTATATTTCCCATACTATTCTTGCCCCCCATCTATTTTCTATCTACTGTCTATGCTACTTATTTTCTGTACCTTCTCCCCCCTTCTCCTCCTCCCACTCCCCCTGTTGCTAACCCTCCTTGAGATCTTCATTTCTATGTTTCCACTCCTGATCTAGCTGTCCTCTTAGTTTGCTTTTGTTTTAGGTGTGGTTGTTAATAACTGTGAGTTTGCTGTCCTTTCACTGTTCATGTTTCTTTAACTTCTTTTCCTTAGGTAAGTCCCTTTAACATTTCATATAATAAGGGCTTGGTGATGATGAACTCCTTGAATTTGATCTTATCTGAGAAGCACTTTATCTGTCCTTCCATTCTAAATGAAAGTTTTGCTGAATAGAGCAATCTTGGTTATAGGTCTTTGGATTTCATGACTTGGAATACCTTTTTCCAGCCCCTTCTTGCCTGTAAGGTCTCTTTTGAGAAATCTGCTGACAGTCTGATGGGGACTCCTTTGTAGGTGACTGTCCCCTTAGCTCTTGCTGCTTCTAGGATTCTCTCCTTCATTTTAATTTTGGCTAATGTAATTATGATGTGCCTTGGTGTGTTTCTTCTTGGGTCCAACTTCTTTGGGACTCTCTGAGCTTCCTGGATGTCCTGGAAATCTATTTCCTTTGCCAGATTAGGGAAATTCTCCTTTATTATTTGTTCAAGTAAGTTTTCCGCTGGTGGC